ACGCCTGGTTTTCTGCTCGGTTTCTGGCTGCTTTTGCTCCTCTTTCCTCTGTCCCTTCCAGACCACACTCCCGGAGGGAGCACAGATCATGGCCCTCAGACTCCATTTCCCAACATGCTGCTGTGACAAGCACTAATGGCCTCTGGAAGGGGAACCCAGCTCGCCCTCAAGAACACTGGGGGCAGTGGCATGGGCCCTGCAGCCTCACATGGAACCCTGTGTTAGGGGAGACACCCAGTCAGGTCTGGTCTGGCTTCCTCTGCTGTAGCTGAGTCACGGCCTCAGTCCTGCTGTCCTGACCACCCACGAGATGATGGGTCTCGATCCCTGGCTCATTAGGATTCTGTCGATGTCCCAGAGGCCCTGCTGTTGGAACACCTGCTACGCATGGGCTCTCACTGGGAGACCGAGGCACACCTTGCTTAACACCAGATGAAATGACCAAGGCCCTCCTTGGTCTTCGGGAAGCAATTCTAGGAGAAAAGGACTTAGGGCAGGTCAGTTACTGAGCAGTGAGACAGGAAAGGCTCTGCGGGCTTGCACAGAAGGGATCGTTGTGCCTGACGCATCCGCAGGGGCTTCCCAGAGAAGGCTTCGAGCCCAGCTTTGATGACAGAAGAGCAGGCCAGGAGACAAGAGAGGCACCCAAAGGAAGACAACAGCACATATGAGGTGTGACACAGCGGGTGCTCTGTACAGTTTCTGGAAAACTTGAGGTTCCTCCTCCCAGCCTCCCTGGTGACTTCCTCTGCATTGGCCGGACTGGGGCATTGCTGAGATGGTGCCACAAATAGCTGGCCAGGAGATAACAGGATGATGGCAGCCATTGGTGGACTCTGGTCATCAGGAAATTGAGGCCCAATTGTTGCCTTAGCAACTATGGCTAAGGCAGGTAAAGGCTGGGGTTGAAATTACAAATTCGTCTGACATGCTGAAAGGAAGGGCCAGCGACACAAGGGTAGGGTCCTCCTTATCTTTGAGGCCCCACCCCTCAGAGCTGAGGCAAAGATGGAGCCTTTTTCTTAGTTACAGACATCACACACTAGGCCAAGGACAGTGGTTGTGCCTTCCTGATCACTGAGGAAAAGGAATGCCAAGCTTGGGTCTAGGGGTGGTGGCATGGGAGGAGTATTGAAACAGGCAGTTGGAGAACCTGTGCCTGCCCTCGGGGAACATCATTTATTCACTCTTTCAGCATCTGACTACCTACCCTGTGTCAGGCAGTTGTAGACACTGGTGATATGGTGGCGGCAAATAATATAGCACCTGCTCTAATGAGAATTAGCTTCTGAAGAGAGGCAGACAATAAGAAGAAACAAAAGAAGAAGTAAACAAATAGCTCACAGCTGTCAGCCCAGTGCTTTGGGAGTTTTTAAAAAATTAGCCAAGTCTGGCCTGGTGTGTTGGCTCATGCCTATAATCCCAGCACTTTGGGAGGCCAAAGTGGGTAGATCACCTGAGATCAGGAGTTCGAGACCAGCCTAGCCAACATGGTGAAACCCTATCTCTACTAAAAATACAAAAACTAGCTGGGTGTGGTGGTGTGCATCTGTAATCCCAGCTACTTGGGAGGCTGAGGCAGGAAAATCGCTTGAACCCAGGAGGTGGAGACTGCAGTGAGCCGAGATGGTGCCACTGCACTCCAGCCTGGGCATCAGAGTGAGACTCCATCTCAAAAAAAAAAAAAAAAAATATATATATATATATATATATATATATATATATATAAAAAATACACACACACACACACATATATGTATAGGCTGGGCATGGTAGTTTATACCTGTAATCCCAGCATTTTAGGAGGCCGAGGCGGGCTGATCACCTGAGGTTGGGAGTTCAAGACCAGCCTCACCAACATGGAGAAACCCCGTCTCTACTAAAAGTACAAAAAATTAGCTGGGCGTGGTAGCGCACACCTGTAATCCCAGCTACTCGGGAGGCTGAGGCAGAAGAATCACTTGAACCCAGGAGGCAGAGGTTGCGGTGAGCCAAGATCGTGCCATTGCACTCCAGCCTGGGCAACAAGAGTGAAACTCTGTCTCAGAAAAAAAAAAAAAAAAAATTAGCCAGTTGTGGTGGTGCAGACCTGTAATCCCAGATACTCAGAAGGCTGAGACAGGAGGACTGCTTGAGCTCAGAAGGCCAAGGTTGCAGTGAGCTGTATGAGTGGCATGCCACTGCATTCCAGCGTGGGTGACAGAGCAAGACACTGTGACTGAATTAAGAAAAAAATAAATAAATAAACCAATCGATGTGAACTTATTCGGAAGTGGAAAATGCTAAAAGGAAATAAAAAGTCACCATGGGAGCGGCAAGGGCTGTCACTGTACAGGGTACTAAGTGAGGGCCCCTCCTGAGACGTATGCTCAGACATCATGCATGAGAAGCAGCCAGCCTTGCTGAGTGCTGCTGGTCACAGCCCCGCAAGTGCAAAGCTGGTGTGGCAGGACGGAGGCTGGTGTGACCTCCTGAAGCCATTAAGAGGCAGTGTGGCTCTGAACAAAAGGAGAGGCAGGGAGCTCCAGCATGTGCTTGTGGAAGGAAGTAGCTGTCTTGTGGCCTTTCCTATGGCTCATTTATTTTCTTTCCTTTTTTTTTTTTTTTTTCCTTGAGACAGTCTCACTTTGTCTCCCAGTGAGCTCTCAACTCACTGCAACCTCTGCCTCCCGGGTTCAAGTGATTGTCCCACCTCAGCCTCCTGAGCAGCTGGGATTACAGGTGTGTGCCACCACGCCCAGCTATTTTTTTTAATTTTTAGTAGAGATGGGTTTTCACCATGTTGGCCAGGCTGGTCTAAAACTCCTGACCTCAGGTGATACACCTGCCTCAGCCTTCCAAAGTGCTGGAATTACAGGCGTGAGCCACTGTACCTGGCCTTAGCTCATTTTCTCCATAGAGCCATTTCCTCTGAGTCAGCAATTCTCAAACTTTACAGCGTTATCAACTAGAAGGATTGTCAAAACAGAAGCTGCTAAGCCCTGACCTCAGAATTTGTTTTATAGGTGTGGAGGGGGACCCCAGAATTTGCTTTTCTAACAACTTTTAAGGGGGATGCTGCTGCTGGCCTGGGGATCCCACTTTGAGAACCACCACATTATTAAGGGGACAGGACACCTATTGCTTATGACAGCTGAGAGGCAAGACAAAGGAGAATCATTTTTTTTTTTTTTTTTGAGATGGATTCTTGCTTTGTCACCCAGGCTGGAGTGCAGTGGTGCGACCTTGGCTCACTGCAACCTCTGCCTCCAGGTTCAAGCAATTCTCCTGCTCCAGCTCCCTGAGTAACCAGGATTACAGGTGCGTGCCACCACGCCCAGCTAATTTTTGTATTTTTAGTAGAGGCAGGGCTTCACCATGTTGGTCAGGCTGGTTTCGAACTCCTGACCTTGTGATCCACCCACCTCGGCCTCTCAAAGTGCTGCGATTACAGGTGTGAGCCACCATGACCAGGAGAATCTTTTTAAGCAGTGTGTCTCTGCTTCAGGACACACAACGGCCAAGCTAGGGCAGCCAGGGCCATGACCCTTTTGGCTGCTGTTGGGAGGGGAGAGGTGGCACTTGCTCCTGGGTGCTCCCTTATCTCCACATGTGCTATATTGGCGAGGTGGGAAGGAGACATCCTGAGGCTGGCCAGAGCTTCCTTGGGGGCTCTTCCCTCATCTTCCTTCTGCCACCTCAGGCCTCCTCAACACAGGAGGCCAGACAGAGGGGCAAGTTTGCCTCATTCTGGCCTCCTGGTCCAGGGATATGAAACGCTTCCTCTTCCCTAAGTGTCCTATCCATCCCAGTCTAGTTATGCTTCCTCTCCTCAAGGTAACAAGATTTCTCTGACAAGAAACTTCTCTCTAGTCACTTGAGCCCAATTCCTCTCCTCAGGAGACGGGATCCAGGACTCTCAGGCGTGGGAAGAGTACACCAGCAACACTGGGAACATTTCCTGATCACGGATTCAATCCTGAAACTACCAAGGTAGTGAGTCTAGAGTGAGGCCAGGTATCCCCCCAGTGATCCAAAAAGCACTCTGAATGCAGCTTTCCTGAGAGTTGACAGGTCTGGGATACATCTGCGTCTCACAGCCAGCTGGATCCTAGATTCCTGGTATCCATTCACTTCCATCTGGTTTTCTAATCCCGCTGTGGTCCGCAGAATACCACCCCCCAAAGATATCCATGTCCTAATCCCCGGAACTTCGGAATATGTTAGGTTACATGACAAAAGGGAATAAAATTGCAAATAGAATTAAGGTTGCTAATCAGCTGGCCTTAAAGATTCTTAGCTGGGTGAACCCCGTGTTAACCATGAGAGTCCTTAAAAGTGGAAGAGGGCAGAGGAGAGAGAACCATACAGAGGGCAGCAATGGCCTGACTCTGGCTGAGGTTGCTACTTTGAAGTTGGAAGAAGGGGCTGCGAGTCAAGGATGCAGGCAGCCTCTGGAAGTCGGAAAACGCAAGAAAAGATTCTCCCCTGGAACCTCCAGAAGGAATGCAGCACTGTCGACACCTTGATTTTAGCCCAGTGAGACCTGTCAGGCCTCTGAGCCAAAGCTAAGCCATCATATCCCCTGTGACCTGCACGTACACATTCAGATGGCCGGTTCCTGCCATACCTGATGACATTCCACCACAAAAGAAGTGAAAATGGCCTGTTCCTGCCTTAACTGATGACATTACCTTGTGAAATTCCTTTTCCTGGCTCACCCTGGGTCAAAAACTTCCCCACGGAGCACCTTGCGAACCCCCATCCCTGCCCGCCAGAGAACAATCCCCTTTGACTGTAATTTTCCACTACCTACCCAATTCCTGTAAAACGGCCCCACCCCTATCTCACTCTCTTTTGGGACTCAGCCTGCCTGCACCCAGGTGATTAAAAAGCTTTATTGCTCACACAAAGCCTGTCTGGTGGTCTCTTCACACGGACGCGCATGACAAGACCCACTTCAGACTTCTTACAAAACTGTAAGCCCCAAACTACAGCTGCCCAAGGTAGAGAAGGGCTAGCTCAAAGACATTTGTGACTGTGGTTTGTCCGATGGAGCGAATCCCAGTAAGATTCATAGGAAGACCCACAAAATGAAGAAACTTACACTGGCAAAAATGCCACCAGCTGTGATTGAAAGGAACAGAGACAAGACAAAATGAAAAGGGGCCTTAGAATCCCCACACTCACTTCTTTCCTGGGTAACCCAGTCCCCTCCCCTTAAGGACAAAATGCCTATGAAAAGGAGTTGATCATCGGAAAATTGCTTGAGAAGTGATTTCCAATGGGCTCGAGGGAAAGCCCATTGAAACATCCCCAGCCTACAGCAGGGAAGCCCTTAAGGGACACAGTATTCAGGAACCTCCTCCCGCAAAAGCGCTGATCAAACACTGCCCCTGAAACGACTGAAGCGGATCCCTCCGGCCCACAGGTTTTCATACTTCGAGGGCCCCAGGCCACCCACCCACGGCTGTCCTGTTCAGACTGAGGGACATATCGTTTCCTTTAGTCTTCCCAAACTTTTAGTACGGCTCAAGAGGACCCTGAGGGTGGCTGGGGACTGCCCTGAATGGAAGGCCAAGCAGGGACAGGCGTACCGCGCGCAGCGAACCGCGGAGGGGAAACCTGGTGCCTAGAGCCAGCTACCACAGGCGCCTGCGTAAACCCAGCGTTCCCAGGATCCCTCGCGGCTAAGTCGCTTCCTGTCTCCGAAGCTCGGTACCGTTGGATTCTGCTGGACTTTAAAGACGTATGCAACAAAAAAGCACGACGGATAATATATTCTGGGAGCAAGCACAGGCGGAAGCGTCTCTGGGAAGTACAATCCCTGAGCGCGTGTGTATCACAAACCTGGCGGCAGGAATGAAAGAGACTGGCCAGAAACAGAGCCCCGCGGCGACTTCTGGGAAATGGAATCCGGTGAGGCCGCCGCGGGGCGTGTGCGCATGACCGGAAGTGGCGCCACTCAGGCGCGTCCCTCTGGCGCCGGAGCCGGGACCTGGTGTTGGGCAGTACCTGCACAGCGGTTCTTGAGCTCCAGCGGTTGCGGGTCGATTGTTGCCAGTTGCCAGTTGCCAGTCGTTTTCGGAAAGGCAGCGGCGGCTTTTTCACCGGGTTCTGGTTGAGGCCGAGCCACCTGTGACTCGGGAGACGGAGTGGAATACCCAGCTGGGCAGGCCCAGTCCGATCTCCCGCGTCCCAGCACCGCAGGATCAAACCGTGCCTCTACGGGGAGTGGCTGGAGAGGAAGAGTCCAGCCTGGGAGCCGTCGGAGCAGCCCTGCAGAACGGGGTGGGGGCTGCTCTAGATAGACCCTGACTTCCAGAGAACTGCTGGGAGGCTGTGGCGCGAGGTGGAACTCAAATGCTGGAGGAAGGTGAGGAGTGGTAGAGGGAGCGATCGTCAAGAGATCGGCTGCTGCTTCGTTTGCCCACGACTGCCGCTGTGTGAGCCGGATCAGAACTCTTTTTATCTCTCTTACAGGTAGTTGGAGACAATCCTTTTTTCTTTCTTTGCCCGTGACACAGCCCCAGGAGATCCTGAGAACATGTGCCCCTCCAATCCTTTTTTGAGTAAAGAATTCGGGGGTCAAAAAAGTTTAAGGACCTCATACCTGCGTGATTTCTGAGTATTGTACCACGTACCCCAGTCTGCGTGATGGACCAATGACAGTGGAGAGTAGGGAGAAGTGGGTTCCTGAGGACTCCTTTGTCGCTTTTCTTCTTCTAGCCCTTCTCGAAGCCGCCAGGGATGCCTGGCTTGGAAAGTTTGAGGACAGGCCAGCCCAGTAGGATTGTGAAGTTGTGGAGGACGGGGGCATTTGCAGTTAGAAGGCACAGGTTCTTGTGAAAGCTGTGAGGTACCAGCCAGGTCTCTTAACCTGTATTTCTCCATGGAAGAAAGGACAAAATAACATTAACTACTTTGTTTACCTCTGAGAATTGTAATCCTCAAACGAAATAACACTTTTGAAAGCACCCTGAATGTGGTACAGAACAAATGCGTAAGCAGGCAACCTCTTTTAAGTCTTAACCACCAACACCTGTGCTGTTCACCCCCTAGATCAACTGTATTTGGTCTGTTACTCTACAAATGCAATTTTACATCCAGAATTTGGTGCTGTCTCCAAGATCAAGAGGTCCTTATATTTGTTTTTGATTTGTTTTGTTTTTGAGACGGAGTCTCGCTCTGTCGCTGAGGCTGGAGTGCAGTGGCGCAATCTCGGCTGACTGCAACCTCCGCCTCCCAGGTTCAAGCGATTCTCCTGCCTCAGCCTCCTGAGTAGATGGGACTCCAGGTGCCCGACACCACGTCCAGCTAATTTTTGTATTTTTAGTAGAGATGGGGTTTCACCATGTTGGCCAAGCTGGTCTCAAACTCCCGACCTCAACTGATCCACTGGCTTCGGCCTCCCAAAGTGCTGGGATTACAGGCGTGAGCCTCTGCTCCTGGCCAAGAGGTCCTTATATTTGGTCTTGCACTTGAGGAGTAAAGAGTGCGATTTCACATCCAGCATTTTGTTTTATCTTCCCTAGAGACCTGGGAAAGCAGAGCAGATGGTCATCATCTTCCCCATACTACAAAAAAGGAAAGGAAGTGCTGCCAGGTTAGATAACTCTCAGTAACAAAAGGTCTGTCCTGAGATCGGAATCCAGATCTATTTATTTGTTTTATTCAGATATCATTCACATACCGTAATATTCATCCTTTTAAAGTGAACAATTTGGTGATTTTTAGTATTTTCACAGTCTTGCAGCCATCACTATTTAATTCCAGAACATTTTTGTTAACTGAAGAAGAAACCCTGTAGCCTTTAGCAGTCACTCCCCAGTCCCTCATTTCTCCACAAGTTCCTGGCAACCACTAATCTACTTTCTGTCACTATGGATTTGCCTAGAACATTTTAAATAAGTGGACTCATAATATGTGACTTTTTTGTTTTGTTTTGTTTTTTGAGACGGAGTTTTGCTCTTGTTGCCCAGGCTGGAGTGCAATGGTGCAGTCTCGGCTCACTGCAGCCTCCGCCTGCCGGGTTCAAGTGATTCTCCTGCCTCAGCCTCCCGAGTAGTTGGATTACAGGCACCTGTCACCACACCCAGCTAATTTTTTGTATTTTTAGTAGAGACAGGATTTCACTATGTTGGCCAGGCTGGTCTTGAACTCCTGAACTCAGGTAATCCACCTGCCTCGGCCTTCCAAAGTGCTGGGATTACGGGCGTGAGCCACTGCGCCTCACCAATATGTGACCTTTTGCGTCTCGCTTAGCACATCATTTTCAAGGTTCATCCAGGTTATACCATGTGTCAGTACTTCATCCCTTTTTATGGTAGAATAATACTCCATTGTACGGAGAGTTCACATTTTGTGTATCCATTCTTCAGTGAAGTTTTGTGTGTGTATGTTTTATTTCTCTTGGGCATATACCTAGAAGTGGAATTACTGTGTCATACAACCCTGTTTAACTTTCATAGGAACTGCTGAACTTTTTCCACTGCGGCGGCATCATTTTCTATTCTCAGCAGTGTATGAGGTTTCCAGTTTCCTCACATCCTCATCAACAGTTGTTATTCTCCATCTTGTTTATTATAGTCATGTTAGTAGGTGTGATATGTTCTCTCACTGTGGTTTTCATTTGCTTTTCACCAATGATGAATGATGTTCAGTTTCATGTGTGGAGTGGCTATTTGTATCTCTTGCTTGGAGAAATAGCTATTCAAATCTTTTGCCCATTTAAGAATTTAGTAGGGCCAGACGCAGTGGCTCACACCTGTAATCCTAGCACTTTGGGAGGCCTAGGCAAGCAGATCACTTAAGGTCAGGAGTTCAAGACCAGCCTGGCCAACGTGGTGAAACCCCATCTACTTAAAAAAAAAAAAAAAATTAGCCGGGCGTGGTGGTGCATGCCTGTAATCCCAGCTACTCGGGAGGCTGAGGTAGGAGAATCGCTTGAACTCGGGAGTTGGAGGTTGCAGTGAGCCGAGATTGTGCCATTGCACTCCAGCCTGGGCAACAAGAGGGAAACTCCGTCTCCAAAAAAAAAAAAACCACACACAGAAAGTGATGTGCTAAGCCAGCATTTCGGCCTCCCAAAGTGCTGGGATTAGAAGTGTGAGCTACTGTACCCAGTCAATAACTAAATTTTTTTTTTTCTTTTTTTGAGGGAGAGTCTTGCTTTGTTGTCCAGGCTGGAGCGTAATGGTGTGATCTCGGGTCACTGCAACCTCTGCCTCCTGGGCTCAAGCTGCCTTTCCACCTCAGCCCCCCAGGTAGCTGGGCCTGCAGGCGTGCACTACCATGGCTAATTTTTGTATTTTTAGGAGAGACAGGGTTTCACTATGTTTGCCCAGGCTGATCTCGAACTCTTGGGCTCCAGCCTCTTTCTTGACAGGGCCTGTTGGAGCACAGAGTTTTTAATTTTGAAGAAATCCAACTTATCTATTTTTTCTTTTGCTGCTTGTGCTTTTGGTGTCATATGTAAGAACTCATTGCCTAATTCAAACTCTCAAAGATGTATGGTTTTCTTCCAAGAGTTCTACCCTTTTTTTTTTTTTTTTTTAAATAGTGTCTCTGTCAACCAGGCTAGAGTGCGGTGGTGTGATCACAGCTTGCTACAGCCTCGACCTCCCTGGCTCAAGCGATCCTCTCACCTCAGCCCCCCAAGTAGCTAGGGCTATAGGCATGCACTACCACGCGTGGCTAATTTTTGTATTTTTAATAGAGATGGGGTCTCGCCATGTTTCCCAGGCTGGTCTCGAACTCCTGGGCTCAAGCAGTCCACCACATCAGCCTCCCAAAGTGCTGGGATTACAGGCGTGAGCCACTGCACCCAGCCGAGAGTTTTACTACTTAACTTTAGGTCTCTGATCTCTTTTTGAGTTAATTTTTATATATGGTGTGACGTGAGACTCTCTGCCCAGACCTCTTCATTTAAGCAAATGCCTTAAATTTGCAGAGCCACTTTCTTCAAAGAACTAAGTAATAGATGATCTCTTTAAGCTGTATACTTAAATGCTGGGCATTTGCCAAGTGCTTTGTCTGTATGTTCCTTTAATCTCCACAGCAACCTTACAAGGGATTATCATCCCCATTTTGCAGATGAGAAAAATGAGACTTAGGTTATATGATTTTCACACTGCTGCTGAGTGGCGGGTCATGGATACTTGTGAGTCTGTTAACACTTTAATGCCTGAGTTGATGGAATTTCTGACGTAGGAGGGAATGGAGAAATTTACATCACACTGCAGGTCTGCAGATTCAGCCCACGTGCCCTGGTACCTGCTATGTCCCCTCTTCACAGTGAGAATTGGTGACTTCCTAAACTGCTTTTAACCTTATTAGTTTTCTTCTCTTTCTTTAGTACTGCCTTCCCCAGACCCTGCCCTTCCCCAAGAGGAAAACACAGGAGAGGAAGGAATGGCTGCTGGTCTCCTCACAGCTGGGCCCCGGGTAAGTAGGAAATTAACTTTGGAAGGCATCCTTTTCTTCCCCCCTAATATTAATGGTAGGGTTGGCTTGTTTTTGGTTGTCATTTGTTTGTTTTCTTTCTTTCTTTCTTTTTTGAGACTGAGTCTCACTCTGTTGCCCAGGCTGGAGTGCAGCGGCATGATCTCGGCTCACTGTACCCTCCACCTCCTGGGTTCAAGCGATTCTCTTGCCTCAGCTCCCGGTTAGCTGGGATTACAGGCACGCACCACCACACCCAGCTAATTTTTTTGTATTTTTAGTAGAGATGGGGTTTCACCATGTTGGCCAGGCTGGTCTCGAGCTCCTGACCTCAAGTGATCTGCCCGCCTCGGCCTATCAAAGTGCTGGGATTACAGGTGTGAGCCACCGCGCCTGGCCTGTTTTATTTTTTTTTTTTTGAGACAAGGCCTCAGTCTGTCACCTAGGGTACAGTGCAGTGGTGCCATCACGACTCACTGCAGCCTTGGCCTCCTGAGCTCAAGCGATCCTCCCACCTCAGCCTCCCAAGTAGCTGGGACCACAGGCTCGTGCCACCATGCCCAGCTACTTTTTTTTTTAAGTTTTGTAGAGTCAGGGTTTTGCCATGTTGCCACGTCTGGTCTTGAACTCCTGAACTGAAGCCATCCTCCAGCCTTGGCCTCCCAAAGTGCTAGGATTACGGGTGTGGGCCATCCCACCCGATCACCCACTTGTTGGTTTTGTTTTGTTTTGTTTTTTACAAGTTTTCTGCAATGAACAAAGTAATTAATGTTCACCACAGAAAACCTGGAAAATAGAGAAAACATAAAAAGTTAAAAATCACTCTTAATCCCACAAAAAGACAGCATCTAACATTTTGATTTGTGTCCTTTCCATCATATTCTCATATTCTCTTTTCTTTCTTTCTTTCTTTCTTTCTTTCTTTTTTTTTTTTTTTTTTTTTTTTTTTGAGTCTTGCTCTGTCGCCCAGGCTGGAGTGCAGTGGTGCAATCTTGGCTCACTGAAACCTCCACCTCCCAGGTTCAAGCAATTCTCCTGCCTTGGCCTCCCAAGTAGCTGGGATTACAGGTGTGCCCTACCACACCTGGCTAATTTTTGTATTTTTAGTAGAGATAGGGTTTCACCATGTTGACCAGGCTGACCTGGAACTCCTGACCTCAAGTGATCCACCCACCTCAGCCTCCCAAAGTGCTGGAACTATAGGCTTGAGCCACTGTGCCCAGCTCATATTCTCAAAGTGGGTTTATTCTGCTCTGTCATGTTTCTGTTTCACTTAGCAGAATTCGATGAATATTCTCCCATTTCACTGCATATTTTACCAAATCATTTCTAACACATTCTTTTTTTTTTTCTTAAATAATTTCACCTTACTAGTTTAGATGCAGGGGTATGTGTGCAGGCTTGTTAAATGGTTGTATTCTTTGATGCCAGGGTTTGGGGTACAGATGATACCATCACTCAGGTAGGGAGCATTGTACCCCATAGGTAGTTTTTTAGCTGATGCCCCCTTTTCTCTCTCCTCCCTCTAGTAGTCCCCAGTGGTTTTTGTTCCCGTCTTGTGTCCATATATACTCAGTGTTTAGCTTCCCCACTTATCAATGATAACATGCAGTATTTGGTTTTCTATTCCTGTATTAATTCACTTAAGGTAATGGACTCCAGATGCATCCATGTCACTGCAAAGGACATGACTTCATTTTTTATGGCTGCATTGTATTCCACATGTATTTCCTATTCCACATGTGGAATTTTCTTTATCTAGACCAGCACTGGTGGGCACCTGGGTTGACTCCATGTCTCGGCTCTTGTGAACAGCACGATGAGGCACATGCGCGTGCATGCATCTTTTGGTAGAATGACTTCTTTTCCTTTGAGTATTTACACAGTAATGGGATTGCCGGGTCAAATGGTAGCTCTGTTTTAAGTTTTTTGAGAACTATCCAAACTGTTTTTCTGGAGTGACTGAACTAATTTAGTTAACTTTCCCATCAGCAGTTACAACCTTTCCCTTTTCTCTGCAGCCTCACCGGCATCTGTTACATTTTTACTTTTTCATATTAGCCATTATTTCTGGTGTGACAGAATATCTCATCATGGTTTTAATTTACATTTCTCTGGTGGTTAGTGATGATGAGCATTTTTTCATCTGTTTGTTGGCCACTTGTATGTCTTTTTTTTTTTTTTTTGAGACAGAGTCTCGCTCTGTCGCCCAGGCTGGAGTGCAGTGGCCGGATCTCAGCTCACTGCAAGCTCCGCCTCCCGGGTTTACGCCATTCTCCTGCCTCAGCCTTCCCGAGTAGCTGGGACTACAAGCGCCCGCCACTGCGCCCGGCTAGTTTTTTGTATTTTTTTGTAGAGACGGGGTTTCACCGTGTTAGCCAGGATGGTCTTGATCTCCTGACCTCGTGATCCGCCCGTCTCGGCCTCCCAAAGTGCTGGGATTACAGGCTTGAGCCACCGCGCCCGGCCACTTGTATGTCTTTTAAGTGTGTCTGCTCATGTCTTTTCCTGCTTTTTAACGTGGTTGTTTTTTGCTTGTTGCTTTAAGTTCTATAGATTCTGGAGATTAGACCTTTGTCAGATACAAATTTTTGAATCTCTTTTCCCATTCTTTCAGTTGTGTGTTGAGTCTGTTGATAGTTGTTTTTTTTTTTTTTTTTTTAGAGACAGAGTCTCACTTTGTCACCCAGTCTGGAGTGCAGTGGCACAATCTCAGCTCACTGCAACTTCCACCTACCAGGCTCAAGCGATCCTCATGCCTCAGCCTCCTAAGTAGCTGGGATTACCACCAGACCCGGCTAATTTTTGTATTTTTAGTAGAGACTGGGTTTTACTTTTTTGGCTAGTCTGGTCTCGAACTCCTAACCTCAGGTGATCGTCCTGCCTTGGCCTTCCAAAGTGCTAAGATTACAAGTGTGAGCCACCGCGTCTGGCCCTAATAGTTTTCTTTTGCTGTATAGAAGCTCTTTAGTAAGGTCTCACTTGTCAGTTTTCATTTTTGTTGCAATTGCTTTTGAAGACTTAAGCCAATAATTCTTTGCCAGAGCCAAGGTCAAGAAGGTTATTTCCTTGGTTTTCTTGTATGGTTTTTATAGTTGAAGGTTTCACATTTAAATCTTTAATCCATCTTGAGTTAATTTTTGTAGACGGTGAAAGGTAGGGGCCCAGTTTCACTCTTCTACATATGGCTAGCCAGCTATCCCAGCACCACTGACTGAGTAGGGAGTCTTTTCCCCGTTGCTTGTTTCTGTCGACTTTGTTGAAGATCAGGTGGTTAGAGGTGTGCGGCCTTATTTCCGGGTTCTCCTTTCTGGGTCCGTGTGTCTGTTTTTGTGCCAGTGCCCTGCTCTCTACACACTGTTTCTTTCACATAGTCCTATGAGAGTAGGAACTGTCCTTTTTTCTTGACTAGGTAATTAGCTTTTTATTTTCGTTTTTAAAATTTGCTCTTGGATTTCCTTGTCAGTTCTGCTCTTTATTAATATATTTTTTCTTTATTAATCTTTTGCTTCTGCTTTCCTCAGGTTTATTTTAAAATTCATTTTTTGGCCGGGCGCGGTGGCTCACGCCTGTAATCCCAGCACTTTGGGAGGCCGAGACAGGCGGATCACGAGGTCAGGAGATCGAGACCATCCTGGCTAACACGGTGAAACCCCGTCTCTACTAAAAATACAAAAAACAAAAAAAATTAGCCGGGCGTGGTGGCGGGCACCTATAGTCCCCGCTAAACAGGAGGCTGAGGCAGGAGAATGGCGTAAACCCAGGGGGCGGAGCTTGTAGTGAGCCGAGATAGCGCCACTGCACTCCAGCCTGGGCGACAGAGCAAGACTCCGTCTCAAAAAAAAAAAAAAAAATTCATTTTTTAACTTCTTGAGTTGAATCCTTAACTCCCCTTCTTCCTTCCTTGTTTACGTTGAAAGTTTTTGGCTGTGTATTTATTTTTTTTAGATATTCCAAAATTATGATTTCTTTATCTGCCTATGTGGCTGGTCTGTGCTTTATGAGGATGGAGTTTGTGTCTCTTGTCAACACAAAATGCCAGTGCAGTCTGATTGCAGGATATAGCGTTTGATAGCTCTGTCAGCTCAACCTTATTAAATTGTTGCATCTTCCATGTCTTTATTCTTTTTGTTGTTTATTCACTTTGGGCTGTCAATGACTGAGTTACTTTAACATCTCTCAAAATCCTAATACTCTAAATTTCTCTTTGCATTTCCTGCAGCTTTTTCTTTACGTATTATATATTTCTTTGTTATTTGGTTTGTGACTTTATATCTTTATAATGGATGTTACTTTCTTGATTATTTTAAAGTTACACAAAGATTTTAAATATTTTTTAGTTTTTTATATTTTTATATTTTTAATAGAGATGGGGTTTCACCATGTTGGCCAGGGTGGTCTCGAACTCCTGACCTCAGGTGATCCACCTGCATAAATATTTCTTAATTTTAAAAGGTGACCCTCTTTGTTCCACTGAAAGAACCTCTCGATGTGATGAATGGATTGGAAGAGCAGGTAAAATCAGAGGCCCGGAGACTGGTTCCCATATGGAAATTATTGCTGGTTTGCAAGGCAGTGGTAGGGGAGTAGAAATAAATGGGTGAATTCTCATGATATTAGGAGGAAGAATCAATAGGGATTGATGCTGCACGAAAGGAGAGGATAACACCCAGGTTCCTGGCTTGGCCAACTAGGTGAACAAAGGCCCCACTGCCTGAGCTAGGAACAGACGAGGAACAGCAGGTGAAGATGGGTGTCTCTGTTGCGTTTTGTTGAGTTTGAGGTTCCTGTGAGGCCTGGCCAGGAGACGATTTCTGCGTTAGGTTAATACTGTGTTATTTCCTGATTCGTTTCTTCGCTTTCCATCTGGCTACCCCTGCCCCCACGCCCTGTACCTAGCAGAGGATGCATTACATGGAGTAGGTGCCGCTTTGTTATGTGAACAGCTTCACCTGACCTGCATGCCTTATAGCTCCTGCCCAGAGTCTCCTAACTCCAGATCCATGTTTTCACCTGTGATAGAACATCTGCACCTGGATTTCCTATGGCCACCTTAAACTCTGTGGGCCCCAAAACAAACTAGTTCCCTTGCTAACAGACCCCTTCTTCCCATGTTTCTTTTTTTTGTGATGACACTGTCATCTGTCTGGTCTTCCAAGCAGGAAACATCTTTGATGCATTCTCAACTCTTCTCTCACAAAGTTCATTTCTGGCTTTGCTTCTAGTCCCTCTCCTCAAGCAGGATCCTCTCTCAACTTGACACTGACACTGTTGGAGTTCTTAAAACCACCTCTCCATGCCTCCATCTCAAGACACAGTTGCCTTCCAGCGGCTCCCTGTTGCCTGAGGGATAAAAGCATCACATTTATCAAGTGATTCAAGGCTTTTTACATTCTGACCTCAACAACCTTTCTGCCACGCTTCATCCCCCCACCCAAACTGCCTGCCATTTCCTAAACACACAAGGACTGTCTTGCCTCCATGCTTCTGCTCATGGTGCCTCTCCTGCCTTGGATAACCTTCTCTTGCTCCATCCGGAAACCTTCTCCTTCAAGGCCAGCTCAGTAATTGCCTTCACTCTGTGGTCCTTCCTCCCCGCCTTTCTGTTCTCCTGGCAACTAGTCTGTTTCTTTGACTCATGCTACATTTGATTGTGTGCATACTTGGCTCTCGTGTTGTACTGGGTGATATCTGTGTTCACAGAAATATTTGTTAAATGTTCTGAAAATTCATCTTTCACATTTCTCTGATAATTTGCACCTGACTCTTCACTGTATCAACTCACATTCTAATTTTTCTCTTTCTGTATTATCTCTTCAAGTCCCAAGCACCCATTAATTTTTGCCCAGTTACTTCACACGCGCGCACACACACACACACTTTATTTATACATAAAGTCTACTAGAATTATAAATGTGTGAAGACAAGAGATAGTGTTGTGTGTGAGTGTGTGTATGTGTGTATATGTCAGATTATCTTAGTGTTAGGCACTGCAGTGCTGGTGATCAATAAAGGCTTTCTCTTTTTTTTGAGATGGAGTCTCGCTGTGTCACACAGGCTGGAGTGCAGTGGCACGATCTCAGCTCACTGCAAGCTCTGCCTCCCGGGTTCAAGCAATTCTCCTGCCTCAGCCTCCTGAGAAACTGGGACTTACAGGCACCTGCCACCACACCCAACTAATTTTTGTATTTTTATTAGAGACAGGGTTTCACCATATTGGCCAGGCTGGTCTTGAACTCCTAGCCTCAAGTGACCCACCTGCCTCGCCTCCTGGCCTCCCAAGGTGCTGGGATTACAGGTGTGAGCCACTGCAGCCGGCCACTTTCTTCAACTACCCAGAGACCTGAATCTTTTCGAAGACTTTTCCAGCTCCCGTAAAACCGCCAACGTTAACCACCCCATCACCCTAGATCCTAAGGCCACTGGCAAGATGAAATGTGCTTGTTTTTTCAGGGATCCACATTCTTCAGCAGTGTGACAGTAGCTTTTGCACGAGAAGGGTGGAGGTGCCTCGTGTCTACTCCAAGGGAGAGGTACAAGGAGGGGATACCAGAAAAGTCCAGGAACCTTGTCCTACTAGGTAAGGAAATGGTTTAAGATTTCGATTCACTCAATTCTGAAAATCCATGGCACTTGCTTTCCAGTTTGTAGGGCTTTCTGACAGCTGTGATGCACCAGAGCGATGGTGTCTATTCCTTTTGTTCTCTTGGGGAAGGTCTCTGCATGCCCACTTGGCAAATAGGCAGTTTCCCTTTGCTTTCCCCAAGGCTGCACCTCCCCATTCTCTCATTTCCCAGGAGGAATGGGGTAACCCTCAGGTCATTTCCTCTATGTTCAGTAAGTTTCCATCTTCCTTTTTTTTTTTTTTTTTTTTCCTTCCATCTTCCTAAATTGGGAACTTGTGAGTTTAGCTTTAGGTCCCTGGCTTGACCCCTCCTTGAGGCTGTTTCCTAGCTCCTTCCAGAAATGTTTTATACAGCCTTGGCATGGCCGGGTGAGGTGACTCTCACCTGCAATCCCAGCATTTTGGGAGGCCAAGGCGGAACAGTCACTTGAGACCAGCCTGAGGAACACAGTGAGACCCTGTCTCTCAAATTAAAAGGACGTTTAAAAAGACTTTGGCATCATATCTTTTATGTACTGCTGTAGCCCCTGGTGCAGGCACCAAGTAAGTGCTCAATAAGTATTTGCCGTCTGAATGAAATGAACAATCCGACTGGGCTGCTTGCTCTCCCCTGAGTTCTGGGTGGCTGTTCATACTTACTTACAATTTCTAAAGCCTGTTTTTCCCGTTGAATAGGACTTCCAGTTTCCCAGCCTGGCATGAACTCCCAGTTGGAACAAAGGGAAGGCACATGGATGCTGGAGGGCAAAGACGTGCGAAGTCCCTCTCCAGGTATGTGAGCAAGCACTTAGCCAATGGGAGTCTTGGGAGCAAAAGCCCCTTTAAATCACACATGAGTGCATTTGATTATCATAACAATTGTGAGGTAGGCGCTGTCACCCCATTCTACAGATGAGGAAATGGTGCTGAGAGAGGCTGGCTCACTGGTTCAAAGCTTCACAGCTAGATAGTGGCAAGGCTGGGATTTGAAGCAAGCTCTGTCTGCCTCTAAAACACACTCTTCCTCACCTCATCCTTACGGAGGCTCCCAGGGCTAGGAGGTGTTTGGGGGCACGTGTGATGTCCCTGGCCTCCAAAGAGTATCCTTACTTGTTGGGAAGCAAGAGTCATCTTTGCTGGCACATTCCTTGCTTGGGGTCTCCCTCACTGAGGATCCTAGGTGCCAGCTTTACGCATGCCACTGGGTGTCACAGCTTCCTGCTGCCACCCTATCTGGCCTCTTAATTCATTCTGCTCCTCCTTTCTTACTGCGTGGCCATGCCAGAATTTTCCAAAGGGCCGATACTAAGAAACTCAGGGAAAACAGAAGGAAAGGAGACCATAGTTTCCACTGCATCTCTCTTACCACCCATGTACAGCAGCTCTCTCCCCTCATCTCTCTCAGCCTCTGCCCTGGTGCCACCTCTGGCAGGGCCTCAGCAGTTTTTCCCTGGGGACCCAGTCACTTTTGATGTTTGAGACTTAAGGCATCAAAGGTACAAATGAATTAAACCAGTTTGAGGTGACAACATTTGACATGTTTCTAAAGATGCAGCCTGGGCCGGGCACCGTGGCTTACACCTGTAATCCCAGCACTCGGGGAGGCCGAGGCAGGTGGATCACCTGAGGTTAGGAGTTCAAGACCAGCCTGGCCAACACGGTGAAACCCCGTCTCAACTAAAAATACAAAAAAATTAGCTGGGCATGGTGGCGGATGCATGTAATGCCAGCTACTCCAGGAGGCTGAGGCAGGAGAATCACTTGAACCTGGGAGGCGGAGGTTGCAATGAGCTGAGATTGTGCCATTGCACTCCAGCCTGGGCAACAAGAGTGAAACTCTGTCTTAAAAAAAATAAATAAAAATAAGATGCAACCTGTCTATTTGTTGCTTTATTTCTTGAGTTATAAGTTATTGCTGCTGGTAGGGCAATCGGCACAAAGCCCCGGGAGCATTCTTTGCATGATTCCATGGAGCTGCCTCTTCTCCTTCCCATCTTACCATCCTCTAAGCAGCCTGTTGCATGTTACCTCACCCTTGTGGCATGCCCGGCACCACTCATGCTTGTTGACACTGCCTGTGGCAGGGAGCGTCCCTGGCCCTGCTGCCTTCTTCTCCCAAGGCCCCCGCTGCCTGGGCATCTCTCTGTTCTATACAGTCTACACAGAGGACTGAAGTCCTCTGTGGAGCTTCAGAAATGGAGAGCAGTGTTTAGTGGTGAGGGGAACAACTACATTTTTCTGGGAAGAGTGTTCCTGATAGTCTCAGAGGGGTTCAAGACCCTGAAAAGCTTGCTGTATTAGTTTTTTTGGGCTCTCATAAAAAATAACCACAAATTGGGTGGACTAAAACAATAGCAGTTGATTCGCTCACAGTTCTGGAGGCTAGAGGTCTGAAACCGAGGTGTCAGTGGGGCCGGGCTCCCTCTGCAGGCTTTGGGAAGGATCTTCCCTTGCCTCTTTCAAGTTCCTGGTGGTTGCCAGCAATCTTCGGCGTTCGTTGACTTTTAGCTGCATCACTCCAATCTCTGTCCCTGTCTTCATGTCGCATTCTCCTGTGTCCGGATTTCCTTCTTTTTAGGGCATTAATATACCCTAATCCAGTATGGCCTCATTTCAGCCTGATTACATCTACAAAGACTTTGTTTCCAAGCACGGACACATTCTGTACTTTGAGGTGGACATGATGTGGGACACTGTTCACCCCAGTACAGTGGTCCCAAAGGTTAAAATCACCACATCATTAGAAACAGGAGTTGGAAAGGCGTATTTCCGTTAAGGAGGTGCTCTGAGGCAGCAGTGTAGGGCAGTAGAAGCAGCTCTGGGTGTGGGTGCCCCTGAGCGGAAAACCACAACCTCTGCCCTTATACACAGCAGGAGTCAACATAGGAGACTTCTGTGAGCAGAGAGGGGTGGGGTTTTCCCCCACGCACCAAGCAAGCAATTAATTTTGTAGCAGACACCGTCTACCTGGAGATAGCATCAGATCCCATGGGTTGAGGGCTCAGTCCCACAAGTTGCCCCCTGCCCCTTCCCAGCAGTCGCAAGTCCAGGCCTCCAGAACTACACTGGCTTCAGATTGGGGTGCCCACGACCCCTCTTTGGATTACATTGATTTGTTAGAGAAAGGACACAGAACTTGAGGAAGCACTTATTTTAGAAAAGATGAAGATGAAGAGATGCATGGGACGAGGTGTGGAGAAGGTGCAGGGAGCTTTCATGCCTTCCCTGGACAGCCGCCCTGCAGGAGCCTCTATGTGTTCAGCTCTCTGGAAGCTCTCCAAACCCTGCCTGCCTGGGCCTTTGATTCATTGGATAGGCATGATTGAAGCACGGACAGCATGTTGTAATGAGATTGGAGAGAAAGGGCCTGATTGAACATGAGTAGACTGAGTGGGGATACCCGGCAGAGCCTTTCTGTGCAGATTCTTCTTGGCCTCGGTGCAGCATTCCTTCCTCCGGGGTATGGGGCAGGATCTCTGGAATGAGGGTCATATGGCCCATAGTCAGATTAGAGTCCTGCTTGGGCAGGGGGAGGTCAGAGAGAGAGAGAGTCTGTTTCTGAGGCCTAAAGTGCTCTGACGTTTTAACAGAAGACTGTAGCAATGGCCGGGCGCAGTGGCTCACACCTGTAATCCCAGCACTTTGGGAGGCCGAATTGGGCAGATCACCTGAGAACAGGAGTTTGAGACCAGCCTGGCCAACATGGGGAAACCCCATCTCTACTAAAAATACAAAAATTAGCTGGGTGTGGTGGCCCAAGCCTATAGTCCCGGCTACTTGGGAGGCTGAGGCACAAGAATCGCTTGAACCCGGGAGGCAGAGACTGCGATGAGCCGAGATCGTGCCACTGCACTCCAGCCTGGGTGACTAAGCGAGACTCTGTCTCAAAAAAAAAAAAAAAAAAGACTGTAGCAGTGGCTATGGGAGTTATGAGCCAGGAACTATGGGTGAAATACACACGCACACACACATATACACGTATATCTTATAATACCTCATTGAGTATGAAAGACATATACTCAAAATTAACTACATGGATTCCAGGCACACCATTGAATTATGTAGTCATGTTTCCATATATGAAAAAGTAGATGATAAAGTCTTCTTTCACCAATTAACACATATATGAAAAAAGTTGCCTACTGAAGAGTTATGTAAGCTATATGATAGTGAACAGAAGTCGTCGGGTGCAAGTTTCCACTCTGGCTATTAGAGGAGCTCAACATGGCCTCTGCTCTAACTCACAGCATGTCCTGGGCATCACTGTGCCGCTGAGAGCTGGGTTTGGGCCCTGGGTTATTCTACCCTACCCCTCCCAAGTGGCAGACCCAGGAGTTGAAAGTGCCATTCTCCCTGCTGCTCATTTTAGGGACTTCTGTGGTGGGTGTTAACACTTTCCCAGACCCTGCTGGCCAGTTGTACTAATTCTGATTCATTGAATCATTCATCAATCAGCAAATGTGCATTAAGCATTTGGTATGTACCTGGCATCATTTTAGCTGCCATGGGTAAAATGTATCCCCTTTGTTGAGTGGGGATGAGGACATAGTCTCTGCTTACATCTTCGTGAAGAACATAAACTGAGCAAACAATAACTAATCTACTTTTTATGGTGATGAGTTGTGTGAAGAAAATAAAGCAGTACAAGGGATTAGTGACTGGGGCACAAGGCTGAGTTGGGAATAGAGGGGAGGGAGCTGTTTGAGAGCCGATGAAGAGGAAAGACTCTTTGGAGATGACATTGGAGCCAAGATCTGAAGGAAGGGGATGAGCCAGCTGTGTGGAGGAGACCTAGGAGAGGAACATTCTGGGCCACAGCGTATGTTGAGACCTTGATGTGGGAATGAGCTTGCTTAAGGATTAGAAAACCTGTGTGGCCAGAGCTTAGTAAACACGAGGAAGAGTGGTGTGCGGGGGACAGATTGTGCGGGGACACTGGAACCATGGTAAGGCGTTTGGGTTTTAGTCACCTAAGAAAATAAGCCATTAAAGAGTTTTGACGCAGGCAAGGGATGAGATTTCTATTTTAAAAGAATTCAGCATTTGGCAAGTGACACTGGTGAAAAAGAATTCAGCGTATGTGTGAAGAATGGACATTCAGGGATCAGGCATGGGAGCAGGGAGGTGAGTTAGGAGGCGGCTCTTGCAGACATGGGAATGTGAGGTGATGGTGGCCTGTAAGAGAGGGGTCAGGACATATTTTGGTGTTAAAGCCAACAGGACTTGCTGGTGGATTGGATGTGAGATGTAGAGGAGGAGGCATTAAGTATGACCCTAGGTTTTGGCCTGATCAGTTGGGTTAGTAGGAAGATTAACAAAGGTGCTGGGTTAAAAGGGAGATGAGTAGCTCTGTCTGGGGTGTGTGAGGCCTGAGATGTCATCAGTCTTCTACTGGAGCCAGCACTCGAGAGAGGTGAGCTGAGGGACAGGCCGTTTGTGAGCATCACGTGGTCCTCTGAATTGCCCCTTCTTCCCTTGGCGTTTTTTCTTGTGACTCTTCTTTTTTTTTTTTTTTTTTTTTTTTTTAACGCAAATAGATGGTCTGCTTTTAAAAACTGTCAAACCCATAGATGATCGGACTCCCAAGTTACACGGAGACGCTCTCAGCCTGCAACGGGGGCCTCTGTGCTCTTGGTTGACTGGGGGCATTGGTGTGCACTTGCAGTTCTGAGGGAAGCCTGCTTCATGCTTTAGGATGGTTTATAAGGAGAAGGTCCAGAGTAACAACCACGCAGATAGCACTTACTGTGTCTCAGCTACCATTCTGGGTCCTTTATGTGTCTTAACTCATTTAATCCTCACAGTGATTGTATGAGGGAGCTGCTTTCACAGGTGATAAATCCAAGGTTTTAAAAGATTACACAGTTTTTCCAAAATCACAGAGCACGTAAGAGGTGGAACCCAGATTTGGACCCAGGCAGTCTGGTTGAAGACTGTGTATAGAAATTCAAGGTCAGGTGTGGTGGCTCATACCTGTAATCTCAGCACTTTGGGAGGCCGAGGTGGGTGGGTCACCTGAGGTCAGGAGTTCGAGATCAGCCTGACCAACATGTTGAAACCCTGTCTCTACTAAAAATGCAAAATTAGCCGGGCATGGTGGCGCATGCTTGTAATCCCAGCTACTTGGGAGGCTGAGACAGGAGAATTGCTTGAACCCAGGAGGTGGGGGTTGCAGTGAGCTGAGATCACACCATTGCACTCCAGCCTGGGCAACAAGAGCGAAACTCCACATCAGGCTGGGCGTGGTGGCTCATGCCTGTAATCCCAGCACTTTGGGAGGCTGAGGTGGGTGGATCACCTGAGGTCAGGAGTTCCAGATCAGCCTGGCCAACGTGGTGAAACCCTGTCTCTACTAAAAATACAAAATTAGCCGGGCGTGGTGGTGCACGCCTGTCATCCCAGCTGCTTGGGAGGCTGTGGCAGGAGAATCGCTTGAACTCGGGAGGCAGAGGCTGCAGTGAGCCAAGATCACACCATTGCATTCCGGCCTGGGCAACAAGAGCGAAACTCCATCTCAAAAAAAAAAATAAAGGTATGGTAAAAATCCAGTATAAAAGATAACAAATGGTGCACCTGTATAGGGCACTTACCATGAGTGGAGCTTGCAGGACTCGGTGAGTGAGTGAGTGAGTGGTGGGTGGATGTGAAGGCTGAGGGCATTGCTGTGCATGGACTCTAGAAATACTGTGCACTAAGGCTACACTAAGTTGACTTTACACATTTTTCTTTGGGAGGCTGAGGTGGGAGGATCGCTTGAGCCCAGGAGTTTGAGACCAGCCCAGACCACTTGGCAAAACCCTATCTCAACAAAAAATACAAAAACTAGCTGGATGTGGTAGCACGGGCCTGTAGTACCAGCTGCTCAGAGGCTGAGGTGGGAGGATCACTTGAGCCCAGGCGGTCGAGGCTGCAGTGAGCCATGATCGTGCCACTGTGCTCCAGCCTGGGCAACAGTGAGATCCTGTCTCAAAATGTGTGTTTGTGTATGTGTGTGTGTGTAGTACTATTTTTGTTTTTAAACTCTTGTTAAAAACTTAAGAAACTCACACATTAGCCCAGACCTGATGGAATCATGCATATCACTGTCCACACCTCCATATCTTGTCCAACTGGAAGATCTTCAGGGGCAATAACAAGCATGGAGCTGTCATCTCTAAGATAACATTACCTTCTGGAAAACCTCCTGAAGGACCTGCCTGAGGCAATTTTACAGATAACTTTTTTTTTTAGTGGAAGGAGTACAGTGTAAAATAACTATTAAAAGCATAGTATAGGCTGGGTGTGGTGGCTCACACCTTTAATCCCCAGCACTTTGGGAGGCCGAGGCGGGAGGGTCACTTGAGTCCAGGAGTTCGAGACCAGCCTGGCCAATGTGGGGAGACCCTGTCTCTCCAAAATATCAAAATTACCCAGGCATGGTGGTGTGCTCCTGTAGTTCCAGCTATTCAGGAGACTGAGGTGGCAGGATCGCTGGAGCCCAGGAGGCTGAGGCTGCAGTGAGCTGTGACTATGCCACCGCCCTCCAGCCTGAGTGAGACTCTGTCTCAATTAAAAGTATAAAGTATAGTAAATATGTAAACTGGTAACATAGTTGTTTATTAAGTATTATGTACAGTGCATAATCGTATATGCTGTACTTTCATATGACTGGCAGTACAGATTTTTTTACACCAGCATCACCACAAACGTGAGTCATGCGTTGCACTACAACATTATGATGGCTTTGAATTCAGTAGGTAGTAGGCTCCATTACACTCTTATGAAAGGAGGTGAGTCATCAAACCTGTGTGTGTAAGAGCTTGGCCAGACTCCTTCAGCCTTTGGTTTTCCTTCCACCAAGGGAACACAACAGCTTTTCTCATTTTTTTTTTCAGGCTGGAAGATTGTATCTGAATCACCACCAGAGCAAGCCCTTTCTGAAGAATCATTCCAAGACCCACATGTAGAGATGCCCCCTGGGGATTCAGACCACAGGACCAGTGAGCTTGAGAAAAGCTTCAGCCTGAGACCAGTCCTCTCTCCGCAACAGAGAGTGCCCGTGGAAGCGAGACCTCGCAAACGTGAGACGCACACCAAGCGCTTCAAGAACTCGGAAGTCACGAAACCTCACAGAGCGAAACCGTATGCATGTAATGAATGTGGCAAAGCCTTCAGTTACTGTTCTTCCCTTTCTCAGCATCAGAAGAGCCACACTGGAGAGAAGCCCTATGAGTGCAGTGAGTGTGGGAAGGCCTTCAGCCAGAGCTCCTCTCTCATTCAGCACCAGAGGATTCACACTGGAGAGAAACCTTACAAGTGCAGTGAATGTGGAAGAGCCTTCAGCCAGAATGCCAACCTCACCAAACACCAGCGAACTCACACCGGAGAAAAGCCCTACAGATGCAGTGAGTGTGAGAAAGCCTTCAGTGACTGCTCAGCTCTTGTTCAGCATCAGAGAATTCATACCGGAGAGAAGCCCTACGAATGCAGCGACTGTGGGAAGGCCTTCCGTCACAGCGCAAACCTCACGAACCACCAGAGGACTCACACTGGGGAGAAGCCCTACACGTGCAGCGAGTGTGGGAAGGCCTTCAGTTACTGCGCAGCGTTCATTCAGCACCAGAGGATTCACACCGGGGAGAAGCCCTACAGATGTGCTGCGTGCGGGAAGGCCTTCAGCCAGAGTGCAAACCTCACAAACCATCAGAGGACTCACACCGGGGAGAAACCCTACAAGTGCAGTGAGTGTGGGAAGGCCTTCAGCCAGAGTACGAATCTCATAATCCACCAAAAGACCCACACCGGGGAGAAGCCATATAAATGTAACGAATGTGGGAAATTCTTCAGTGAGAGCTCAGCCCTCATTCGACATCACATAATCCACACCGGAGAAAAACCTTATGAGTGTAACGAGTGTGGTAAAGCGTTTAACCAGAGCTCATCCCTTAGTCAGCATCAGAGAATCCACACAGGCGTGAAACCCTATGAATGCAGCGAGTGTGGGAAGGCCTTCCGGTGCAGCTCTGCCTTCATTAGACATCAGAGACTCCACGCCGGAGAGTAACCGGGAACATGGTGGAAGTAGAGTCCCGGACATGCCAACTCAGGACAGATGGGTGAGGATCTGAGAAATGCTAAAGGCTCGAAAGCATCTGAAGACATCTAACTTAGAGTCTGCAGCCCAGAGCCACATGCAAAAACACCTTCAGTAAATAGCCACTATTTCACATGCTGTGTATGGACGCTCAGCTCTGTAACACCTTCTTTCTGCAAGCATCCAAAGATCCAGGGCTCCATTCAGTTGCAGGTTTGTCTTTATTCCGTGGGCCAGAGCACTTTATTTGGTAAGCATTCCAGAAACCTGAGTTTATTTGGAGTAAGTGACCAAATCAATGAGTATAAGAACTTGACTCCTGGCCGGGCGCGGTGGCTCAAGCTTGTAATCCCAGCACTTTGGGAGGCCAAGACGGGCGGATCACGAGGTCAGGAGATCGAGACCATCCTGGCTAACACGGTGAAACCCCGTCTCTACTAAAAAAATACAAAAAAAAAACTAGCCGGGCGAGGTGGCGGGCGCCTGTAGTCCCAGCTACTCGGGAGGCTGAGGCAGGAGAATGGCGTGAACCCGGGAGGCGGAGCTTGCAGTGAGCTGAGATCCGGCCACTGCACTCCAGCCTGGGCGACAGAGCGAGACTCCGTCTCAAAAAAAAAAAAAAAAAGAACTTGACTCCTACATCAAAGCCAAGTCTTTGGGCAATGCTGGCAGTTTCTCCTGGAAGTAATGAGAAATGTTGTGAAAGAACTCAGCGCATTGGCCAGAAATGATTGAAAAACCATCAAATTTGGGGCAGGGGGAGGTGTAAATACAAATACAAGTGAGAAAAGGGATTCTAGAGCCAACTATGAAATACCAGAATCTCCTTGAGGTGGGGAACATTCGTTGATGTTCCAAAACTCAGAAAAGCACTGCCAGGCCCAGCCTTTGTAGAGCTTGTTGCTGTTAGAAAGAGCCCACCCAGGCAGATCACAAGGTCAGGAGTTTGAGACCAGCCTGACCAACATGGTGAAACCCCATCTCCACTAAAAATTCAAAAACTTGTGGGGTATGGTGGCACGTGTCTGTAATCCCAGCTACTCAGGAGGCTGAAGCAGGAGAATCACTTGAACCCAGGAGGCAGAGGTTGCAGTGGGCCAAGATTATAACACTGCACTCCAGCCTGGGCGAGAGCGAGACTGCATCTCAACAAAGAGCCCACCCAGAGGTTACTCGTGTTGAGGGTAGAGTGTGCTGCTAATGAATTGGGAGGCACATCCCTTTCCATGGAGAATAGGAAGCACCCAGAACGGGCAGGTGTGTGACAGCCATGCTGGACTCAAGAGGCAGGTGAGTCATAAACTGCCCCGGGCTCCTCATTCTCCTTTCTCATGGAGAACAGTAGTGCTCCCCTCCCCTATTAGCAATCCAGATTTTTGCCTTTGGCCTGCTTACTGTCTTATATACTGTTTCCTTGGTGACTTGGTGCAGTCCCTTCTAGGACACTGGAACGCTTTTGTGCCAGCCCCTCATTCTCGCCTAGGCCGGAGTGCAGTGGTATAATCATAGCTTGCTGAAGTCTCTACTTCTGCACCCTACCACCTCAGCATCACAAATAGCCAGGCACACAAGCCACCACACCCAGCTAGCTTTTTGGAGAAAGTATCTGGCTATGTTGCCCAGGCTGGTCTTAATTCCTGACCTCAAGGAATGCTCCTGCCACAGCCTCCCAAAGTTCTGGGATTACAGGCAAAAGCCACTGTATCCGAAATAGAATCCTCTCCCTAACTCAGGGGGTCCAGGTAGTCCTTTCCACTTAAGGCAGTTCTCCAACGTGGGGCGACACAAAAGCACTGACCTAGAGACCACTGGCGAAAACTATGAGTCATAAAGGGGAAATCAATTTCTCTGGGCCACCATTTCCAACTCCCTTTACTCCAGTACCCAGAATCCTCTCCCAGGTCGTGCTTCAAGGTTCATCTTAAAACAAAAGGGAGTGATGAGCACAGGCTCTAGAAAGTTGGTCAGAAGGAACAGAACTGTGGGAAGATGAGACTTGAGACAAGGTGAGAGAGCAAATACTGTAAGCCACCTGAGTTCAGAGAAAAGGTTGGAATAACAGTTTACAGTTAAACAGATGACGTGAACCTCACTTTCACAGAACCAAAGGATTAGTCCAGGACTAATCCTTAGTCCAGGAGAATGGTCAGGTTTATTTGTTGTATAATTGGTTCTGAACCCTGGCTGTGCACTGGAATGGCTAGCAAAACGGGTCCTGGGCCCCCAACCCACTGTAACTTCAGTTGGTCGGGAATGGACAACTACACTCCCCATGTGTTCAGGTTTTGTGTTAGAGCATTTCTTAGGAAAGGCTTCATGATAGTCTACAAAAAGTGTTTCCTGGCCAGGCATGGTGGCTTACGCCTGTAATCCCAACATTTTGGGAGGCCAAAGGCAGGCAGATCGAGGTCAGGAGTTTGAGACCGGCCTGACCAACATGGCGAAACCCTGTTTTTACTAAAAATAAAAATTAGCCGGGCGTGGTAGTGTGTGTCTGTAATCCCAGCTACTCAGGAGGCTGAGGCTGGAGAATTGCTTGAACATGGAAGGCAAAGGTTGTGGTGAACCAAGATTGCGCCACTGCACTCCAGCCTGGGCAACAAGAGCGGAAACTCTGTCTCAAAAAAAAAAGCTTCCTTTCTGAGGCAGCCCAGCCCATACAGGGCAGTTTTGTTACCCACCACAAGGTGCTTGTTACTTCTCCACAGGCTCTGCCACCTTGACCCCACTGACCACCCTACAAAGGAGCTAGCTCCCTCAAGGAAGACGCCACACCAAAAAATCCACCAGTTGTCAAATGATCCTTTATTGAAATGCTTTCCTTTGTGCTTAACTCTGTGGGAAAGGAAAAAAAGTCTATCAGTAAAAGGGAAAGTTTAAAAGGATTATCCCAACCCCACCAGTGACCATTTCCAAAACTTCCCAGCTGATCTCTGTGAATACATTGGGTGGCCCCCCTTTTGCCCCTATTGTAACAATGGAAAATAAAGCAAAAAAGTCACTTACAGCTGGGCATTCCACAGCACCACTGTTGATGTCATCTATGATGTCATGAGGGTGGCGGCCATCAACATTACAGCCCACAGACTGGGCAGTCCCCAGGATCTCTTTAATGGTTCCTTTAGTAAAGAAATGGTAACACTGGAGGTGCTGGCTCAGTCCCTCATAATCCTCATACTGGGGAATACTCAAGGGGTTCATAGCAGGCAATGGAAGGAATGAGGTTCCTGCTCCCCTAATACAGAGTGCAGAGCTCCATCTAGTCCCATGACCCTGAATACAAAGCTTCCATGGGTCCTTGATGCCCAGATTCAACACATCCAATTTAAGAGCCATCCATTCTTTCAGTCTCAGAAAACTGCACCCCATCTTTTTTTTTTTTTTTTTTTTTTTGAGACGGAGTCTCGCTCTGTCGCCCGGGCTGCAGTGGCCGGATCTCAGCTCACTGCAAGCTCCGCCTCCCGGGTTTATGCCATTCTCCTGCCTCAGCCTCCCGAGTAGCTGGGACTACAGGCGCCCACCACCTCGCCCGGCTATTTTTTTGTATTTTTTTTTTAGTAGAGACGGGGTTTCACCGTGTTAGCCAGGATGGACTCGATCTCCTGACCTCGTGATCCGCCCGTCTCGGCCTCCCAAAGTGCTGGGATTACAGGCTTGAGCCACCGCGCCCGGCTACTGCACCCCATCTTGGGTCTCACTGAGCACCCTTTAAGTGGGAAGAATGTTATCACTCAGTGAAAACACAACTACAGTTACAGCAATTACATGCTGTCCTGCTCTTACCAGAGAGTTCTCTGGCTAAGGATCGGTGCCGCATCTGTCGAGCAATGTTGATGATCTCATCAAAAGTGATATTCCCACTGTGTTTAACTGCAGAAGAGAAAACAGCAAAAGCTCTGTTACAGTCTGAAGCCAAAGCAGATCATGTGTCCTTCATTTCATTTCTAGGCTGTTCCCATGCTTTCGGCACAGAGTCATCCACATGAAGAACAACCCTGTTTCCTAAGCTGGGGTTTACTATCAGCTCACCACTGGATTGCACCAGCCAACAGAGACCTGGTCAGGTGCAGTGGCGGGTGGCTGAGGGCAAAACCAAGCCTTCACAAATCTGACATGGCAGAAACTGTTTTAGAGATGAGAAATGACAAGCTTAAATTGCCCAGTACCTGCCGGCTCTATGTGCTCTCCTGATTATAGGTCACTGTTGCTGACGTCTTCCTCCTACATGCACTGACTGGGGCCTGCCCCACACAGGGACTACATGGGCACTTCTGTTTTTTTGAGACAGTGTCTCACTGTCACCCAGGCTGGAGTGCAGTGGCATGAATTTGGCTCACTGCTACCACCTCCACCTCCCGGGGTTGAGTGATTCTCCTGCCTCAGTCATCACAGTAGCCAGGACTACAGGTGAGCACCACCAGGCTAATTTTCGTATTTTTTGGTGGAGATGGGGGTTTCACCATGTTGGCCAGGCTGGTCTCAAACTCCTGACCTCAAGTGATCCGCCTGCCTCAGCCTCCCAGAGTGCTGGGATGACACAGGTGTGAGCCACCCAGCAAATATGGCACTTTTTGATACTACCTGGCTCTAGCAGCCTTAACCGTATCAATACCCAATAGCCATGTCAACCCCAGGTTTCCTTTAAGGGAAAACAGCCATATATATCAAACATCTCACAAACCATTACCAAAACCAAACTAGGGAAAAGATGACTCACTGTTTTTCTGTTTCTTTCTGTCTCTTGGTGGCTCCTTGAGGGCTTTGATGATCAGGGCAGAGGCAGAAGGCACCACCTCAATCTGCAGAGGAGATTCTTGAGTTAATACTCCACCTCCAATGAATACTGCTTTTGGAAGCATGCTGGCTTTCAAAAATCACGGCCACACACTGTCCAAGTCTCTGCCCTAGGTCCGTACTCCTGACAAAGCCTCCCCAACAAGGTAAAATCACTCAGCTCACCACTGGTGGCAGAATACTCTACTCAGGAATCCCAGAGGGTTGCTGCCTCTGTCCCCCGACCCTCCAATCCCGAAACCAAGCACAAGTAAATACCTGGGCCTGTCTGTTCTGAATGGTCAGTTTCACTGTAATCCTCAGGCCCTTCCAGTCACCCGTTGCCTTGGCAATGTCATCACCAACCTTTTTCGGAGACTGGAAATAAAGGAATGTAATCAACATGGTGTCCAGATGTGAACCACAGCCTTGAAACCTGCCCACCACTTCTCACTTGGCAACAAAGGAAGCTATCTCAAGTACCTAAGGGCACCTTCCCCATCAGCACAGCTATCACCATAGCATAAATTGGGAGTTGGGGTTGTCTTGTCCAGGACTGTAAACTGCAGACTTGGCCACAATGGAATCTAGACCCCTCCTAAGTGCCTATGTGCTTAAGGAGGGGGATTTTCAGCCCTGCTGACATTAGAATCACCTAAGGAGCTTTCAAAATATTAGGTTCCCATGTCAGACCACCCACGTCCATCTGCCTGGATGGGCGTCTGATTATGTGCTAAGTGTCCCTTAAGTCCCGGCTGAGCTAAGGGCCAAGGAAAAGTAGTTAAGATACAGGTTAAGACAGACCAATAGGGAAGAGCATCTGGGACAGGGGATCGCTGTGCAAGGATTACATAAAGGCCTAATGAAATTCAGGGAAATCCAAGAGTACAGAATGACGGGGAAGCCAGCAGTTGCTCAGCAGGCATAAGGCACAGCCTGTCACATTAACTGCTAAGTTTACATCCACAACACAGCTGGTAACACTCACTGGATCTTCACCCACACCCCATTTAATCTTCCCAACAATGCCATGCCCACTTCCCTGACGAGGAAATACAGATATTGGCTGCCCAATGTCACTAAGCCACTCCTAACTTCAAAACCCCCTTGGGCCCACCCCTCAGGTGCCCCAAAGCAGCCGTGGAGACACATGGAGCTAATTACAATTTAAAGGCACCAGGTTCGATGTTTCACGCACGACCTTCCTAAGGTACCTAGTACTAGTCAGTGGCTCAGGCCTAGTGGAGGGTGACAATCCAAGCCACGAGGGCACCTCTGGCACAGTCGTGACTCCACGAGCCGGCGCTTAACTGTGCTCTGTAAGTGAAAACAAGCCCCTTGGCGGGGATGACGTACCAGACCCAGGGGGCCGATCTTGGGGGCCAGCGCAGAAGTGGCGCCGACTTCACCTCCGGTGCACCTCAGGTATACTGGAGGAAAAGAAGGGTTAGTGTCGCTGCAGAGGGAGCCCCCGAGCCACAGCCCTCTCAGCGTCTTTCCGGGGCTGGACACATCACCCTCTGCCTCTTCTCGAAACAGCACCGAGCGTGAGGCCGGCCACCCGCTCCTCCCTCGGGCGTGGGCAGCTCCGAACCTCACACCGCGGAGGCGTGGAGAGAGCCCCGTCGCCCGCGAACCCAGGCCAGTGGGTCGAAACGCCCGAAGACAAGCCTTACCCTAGGGCCTGCGGGCTCCCAAGCCGCCACAGGTGGTTCGGTCCTCCCTCCCCACCTACACGTGGAGAAGCTAAGGCCCAGAAAGACTGAGGCTTGGCCAGGAGGGCGCAGCACCGGGAAGGCCTCTAGGAGGCATCGGCTTTAAGAGCCCCATATTAGAAAGCTTTGCACGCGCGGCGGGGCCGAGGGATGCTCCATCCCGCAGCCCCGGCCACAGCTAGAGCACGCACCGACTTTGATCTCGTTGGGGTCGAACTTCGGCGGCATGGTGGAGGCGGCTGGTGTCGGATGAACCCGGATTCGGGACGACCGAAGAAAGTTGCACCTTAGCCCCCTCCGAGCCGAAAGCCTAGAGGCCGGAAATCGCACGGACGACGCCGGATATAGGGAGGAAAATGCGGCTATCGCGAGAACTGTCGTCACTGCCCAGCCTTCCAGAGACGCTTTTTGTCGCCATGTTTGTTGTGGGCAGGCGCCTGAGGCTGACGGCTGGCGAGCTGGGCACCGCCGTGCGCTGAAGCTAGAGATTCCAAAAGGGAGATCGGGCAGTTCGCTCCGGAGACGTCTGAGAAGAGGGGTTGCTCCCGTGATCCCAGGCCTAGCTGTTTCCCATATTCCTTTATCGTAAGTGTCACCCCGGTCCCCAACACCCAATCCCAGAGCCCCGCCCCTCCCCTGAGGGGTCTGTTGTCCCATTCCAAGACCCCAGTACCGCAGCGACCCCTGCCCCCTCCAGCACTTGGTGTGTGCACTTTAGTTATCAAAACAGTCTATTTATGTGGAAATCCAGCCCCGCTTTTCATTCTGAGAGTCCGCGGTTTCTAGAGCCTCAGACTTCGTCATCCCGGTCTGCGTGACTTTCTGAGATTCTGAGTTTGTCCCCAGCACCTGCGTTTGAAGGAGACCAGACTCCAGCTCCGCCCGGCCCGTGCCAGGTGGTCTGCGGCCCCGAGTCCGTGACCAAGCCCTCCGAGTGATTAGCCTGCCCTCGGGTGCACCCGCGGTTCCCAACGTGGTGGACCCTTCCATCCGCAAAGCCAGGTCAGCCACTGCCTACCCCACCCCAGGAAATATGGATGTGGCCCTCCCCCTGCATCTAGGCTGGACGTCGGAAAGGGAGGGACAGGCATGTGGGGCAGCCTGGAAAGAGCTGATCTTCTGGGAGGGGTGGGAGAGCGATGGTGGTTGGGAGAAAGTCGGGGGGAGGGCTGCACATCGGAAAGGGGGTGCAGGAGGGTTAGTGACTGGGGAGCAGAAGGGTAAGTGCTGGTCATCAGGGAGTGATGGGAGAGGGCTGTTTTCAAACCATTCCCCATCCTTGCAGGCAGGTGGGGTGACCAGAAGGGCCTGAGCTGGCTCTGCAGGCCTGGCTACCTCCCCAGACAGCCCCGCCCCTGTGGGTGCAGAGCTGCCATCTCTGCCCATCCCTCTGAGGACTGGGTGTATGTCTTCTTCAGCTGCATCTCCTCCCAGGGCTGTCTTCTCCCTAGCTCCTCTAGTGGGCCCTGAATCAATGCTGCTTGCATGTGGGTGCTTTGTGGCTCACATTTATTGAGCGCTCATGTGCCAGGTCCTGTATTATGCGCTTGACATATATGAAGTCATTGGATCCTCACAGACGCCAGTGTTGGTAGCATGGTTACTTAAACTTTACAGATGAGGAAACTGAGGCTCTGAGAGGTGAACCAAGGTGACCTCTGCGGTCGTGGGTGGCAGATCTCGGATTCAAATCCAGTTCTCTTTCATCCCAAAGCCTATGCTGCTCACCATGCACTTCCCTGGGTGATTGCTTCCTGGCTCATTGCCATCCCTTATCCTGCTCTGATATTTACAGACACTGTGCAGGCCCTGGGCAGGCAGTGAGCACCTGGCTCTGAGTTCAGGACAGTGTACTTCGTGTGTGCCAAGTTATGTGAGCACCAAGGAGTCGGGCAAATCCCACAGGTCAGGACTTGAGAGACCACGGTTCCAGGCTGGCTTCCAGGCTGCAATCCAGGCTGTACAGCCAGGCCACTGAACTTAATAAGCATCTGCTTCTTCACTTTATTTATTTCTTTATTCTTATTTTCTGAGACAGAGTCTCCCTCTGTCACCCAGGCTGGAGTGCAGTGGCGTGATCTCGGCTCACTGCTACCTCCGCCCCCTGGGTTCAAGTGATTCTCGTGCCTCAGCCTTCCAAGTAGCTGGGACTACAGGCGCACGTCACCACACCCAGCTACTTTGTGTATTTTTAGTAGAGACGGGGTTTCACCATGTTACCCAGGCTGGGCTCAAGTGACCCACCCATCTTGGCTTCCCAAAGAGCTGGGATTACAGGCATGAGCCACCACACCTGGCCTGTTTCTTCACTTTAAATAGGGATATGGTGAGAATAAAATGGAATAATAACTGAGGGTGGTAAGCTGAGGATTGCTTTGTAATTTGTATTCACCGCAGAGGTCTCTTTGGTCATGATGTAGTTGAGCTCCCCAAGGTCCTGGCTGGCTCTAGTTTGTTCCTGCTGATCCCACTCCGACAGTGTCGAGGGGGCTAGAAGTGATTCATTGGCAGAGTCTGTTAGAGTCCTCAAAGAACAGCCTTGGAAAGCACCTGAGGAAACTTCTCTAAGTTTCCCCAGAACGGGAAAAGGATAATGCCAAGACCTCACTATGGGTCGGTGGCAAATGTGGGCCCCAACCCAGGTCATCTGGCTTGTCTTTGTCTCCACCTCATCCTGCTGCTTAATGTTTAGTCAACAAAGAACAAGGAGTACTGAGCGCCTGTTGTGGGCTCGGGACACTGACAGAAGGACTAGAAAGATGCATCCCCTGACCCCATGGAACTCACTAGAAAGATGTAACCCGGCCAGGCGCGGTGGCTCAAGCCTGTAATCCCAGCACTTTGGGAGGCCGAGATGGGTGGATCACGAGGTCAAGAGATCGAGACCATCCTGGCTAACACGGTGAAACCCCATCTCTACTAAAAAAATACAAAAAACTAGCCAGGTGAGGTGGCGGGTGCCTGTAGTCCCAGCTACTCGGGAGGCTGAGGCAGGAGAATGGCCTAAACCCGGGAGGCGGAGCTTGCAGTGAGCTGAGATCTGGCCACTGCACCCCAGCCTGGGCACAGAGCAAGACTCCGTCTCAAAAAAAAAAAAAAGATGTAACCCCTGACCCCATGGAACTCACTGGAAAGATGCAGCCCCTGACCCCATGGAACTCACTAGAAAGACGTGGCCCCTGCCCCCATGGAACTCCGTGGAACTAGGAAGATGCAGTCCCTGGCTCCATGGAACTCATTAGGAAGACAGCCCCTGGCCCCATGGAAGTCACTAGAAAGACACAGCCCCTGCCTCCATGGAACCAGTACTAGAAAGACACAGCCCCTGGCCCCATGGAACTCACTAGATAGATGTGACTCCTGACCCCAATGAACTCACTAGAAAGTCATGGCCCCTGCCTCCATGAAACTCACTAGAAAGACACAGCCCCTGCGCCCATGGAACTCATTAGAAAGATGTGACCCCTGACCCCATGGAACTCACTAGAAAGACACACCTACTAGAAAGACACAGCCCCTGCACCCAAGCGGAACTCACTAGAAAGACGCAGCCCCTCCCCCCCATGGAACTCAATAGAAAGACACAGCCCCTGCCCCATGGAACTCACTAGGAAAGATGCAACCATTGCCCCCGTGGAACTCACTTCAGAAAGATGCAGCCATTGCCTCCATGGAACTCCCCTAGAAAGACCTAGCCCCTACCCCCATGGAACTTGCTAGAAAGAGGTGACTCCCTGCGCCCATGGAACTCACTAGGAATACACAGCCCCTACCCCCATGGAACTCGCTAGAAAGATGTGACCCCTGACCCCATGGAACCTACTAGGAAGACACAGCCCTGCCCCCATGGAACTCGCTAGAAAGATGTGACCCTGGACTCCTATGGAACTCACTAGAAAGACGCAACTGCTGCCTATGGAACTTACTTACAAAATGTGACTTTGACTTGAACTCACTAGAAAGACACGCTCCCTGCCCCCATGGAACTCACTAGAAAGACACGGCCCTGCCTCCATGAAACTCACTAGAAAACACAGCCCCTGCGCCCATGGAACTCACTAGAAAGATGTGACTCCTGGGACTGACCCCTGACCCCATGGAACTCACTAGAAAGACACAGCCCCTGCCCCATGGAACTCACTAGAAAGATGCAGCCCCTGCCCCTGTGGAATTCACTAGAAAGACGCAGCCGCTGCCCCCGTGGAACTCACTAGAAACATGCAGTCGCTGTCCCCGTTGAACTCACTAGAAAGACACAACCCCTGCCCCCTTGGAACTCACTAGAAAGACGCAGCCACTGCCTCCATGGAACTCACTAGAAAGACGCAGCTGCTGCCTCCATGGAACTCAAGGTCCAACAGACCAGCTGCATACTTTGTGTTACTGTGCTACCTGTCCTGGGTGTTGGGGGCTGTGACACATTCCCCAGTCCCTAACTTCTCTCCTGTGCCCCAGGGTCCTCCAGATCGCTCTGGGAAAAGGGAAGGATGCCACTCTTCTTCCGGAAGCGGAAACCCAGTGAGGAGGCTCGGAAACGCCTGGAGTACCAGATGTGTTTGGTGAGGGAAAGTGGGTTTCCTCTAACTATCCCAACTCCTCCTCGGTCCCCAAGGAGTAGGCCTCCGCACTGCCCCTGACAAGCCATGCTCCCTCCCCCACCTGCAGAAGAAATAGCTGACTTAGACCCAACAGATGAGGCCCCCTGTCAAGGGTGCTTCTCCCCTGTAGACTGAGCGCACTGTCATTGCTTTTCAGTTCCTCATCCCTCTGGGCCTCAAGCTCCGGGAAAGCAGGCGTCATTGGTTCACTGGACCGGTGGAACCAGATAGTGTCTATGGTCCTTTGCCGTTGCTTACATGTATGTTCTTTGCCTGGTTTGTCCACTCTGCAAAGATGTTTTGTCTTAATACTTTTTAAAAATTCTTTTTATCCTTAGGCAAAAGAAGCTGGGGCAGATGACATTCTCGACATCTCTAAATGTGAGCTCTCAGAGGTAAACTGAGCATAGTGTTGGGCTGTGAATTGGATCTGTCCCATTTTCTTGGATCACGTGTCCCTAGGAAAGACAGAGGTGGACTAGGGCTTTAGAAAGGCCAGAAGCTCTAGTCACGAGACGTTTCCTTAGATTTTGTTCTTGTGCAAAAGAATTGAGATGGTACTTTGGCCTCAATATAATGTAGTCTCCAAGAGTCGAGGAGTCTAGGTAGAAAATGTGCCCATAGACTCCTAGGTTGCTGGAAGGGCCTGGCATTCTCTAGCCCCTGAAGGGGTTCACAATGGGGACAGGGTGGGTGGGGCAGGGCAGTCTCCTGCCAGCTGACTGAGGGAAGGGCTGGTCACATCCCCAGCACCACTACTCGCCAGCCTTGCCCCTGGGCTCAGCACTGCCACCTGCTATGGCGTTTTGCCCTTGTTCACCTCCTGCCTGTCTCTTCCTCATGTGAATACCACTCAGAGAACAAGCTAAACACTGGCAGGAGGGGAGACACTTACTTTTCTTTATCTTATCTTAGATTCCATTTGGAGCTTTTGCAACATGCAAAGTTCTGCAGAAGAAGGTGAGCTGGAGCTTCATCTTCAGAGACTTGCTTATTGCATGTCTGCTTGTTTGAACCCATAAGGGACTTTGAGGCGCTGTCTCCCCAGCATAGACACCTGCTTTCTCTCCCTTCTTACGCTTTTGGCCTGCAGCAGGTGATTTCACAGAGAGGAGAGTAGGCTTTGGGGTTGGACCTTCCTGTGTCACATTCTGACTCTGCCTTCTCTCACTGGCTTTGTGACTTGGGCAACTTCCTTAAACTCTTACTTCTCCATTTCTTCACCTGTGAAATGAAGACATTCATAGTTCTTCTCCCCGAGGTACTGTGAGAATTAAATCAGTGGTAGATAGTTAGATAGAGATAGAAATACACTGAGTGTAATGACTGCCACATAGGAAAGGCTTATGAACCCCGGTGTTAATAATAATAGAAACTCACCCCTTTTATTCTGGTCACGCAGGGGAGATTCTGAGGGGAGTGAATGATTTTTCAGCAGAGCATTGCAGCTTTGAATGCAGATGGGCAGAAGCACTCTAAGTGAAGTATCTAAATGAGAATACGCAAAAAAAAAAAAAAAAAAAAAAAAAAAAAAAAAAAACATTCCATGCTAAAAGAAGTGAGCTCCGTGGCGCTGGAAGTGTGTTTTTTTTTTTTTTTTTTTTTTTTTTAAGACAGACACTCTGCTCCGTCACCCAGGCTGGAGTGCGGTGCCGCAATCTCAGCTTACTGAAACCTCCACCTCCTGGGTTCAAGCGATTCTCCCGCCTCAGCCTCCTGAGTAGCTCGAACTCCTGACCTCAAGTGATCACCCACCTTGGCCTGTCAAAGTGCTGGGATTACAGGCGTGAGCCACCATCCCAAGTCTGTGCTGGAAGTGTTAGGCAGTGGTCGATGACTAAGAAAAATAGGAGTAGATGACCTGGACTGAGCCCTGGCCCATGTGCCAGCTCTGGATGTTTTGCACATAAGCTTGTATTTAACATCATGGCAGCCCTGGGAGGCAGGCACTTGATTATTCTCTATTTTCCACGTGAAGATGCTGGTGCTGGGAAGGTTATGATCAGAATGGCTGCAGGGGGATCCCTTCTCAGAATGGAAGGTTTAGACCTCTAAGGTCTCTTTCACCCTTGAAGATCCAGATTTTAAGGAAGGGCATCAGATTCCCCATTGGGAGAGTTCATGATCCTGACCCGCATCCCCTGCTCCTGTCGTGGTGTCTGGGAGAGCAAGATGGTGGGGCGTAGCAGGGCACTGGGCTGGCTCCCATGCCCTTAGCCTGCCGTGCCTGCTTCTCTTCCTCAGCCCAACATGGCCGCACATCTCTCCACACAGGTGCTGATCGTCCACACGAATCACCTCACTTCCCTGCTTCCCAAATCCTGCAGCCTCCTGAGTCTGGCAACCATCAAGGTACTGGGCCCTCCTCCCCAGCAGTTGGGGCTCCGCATGGGGTTCCAGGCGGCAGCTGAGCACCTGCTCCCTTTGGGCCGCCTCTTGTATGTCAGTGGGGCCTCATCTACCTGTCAATCTGGGATTTGATCAGCATGGTTTATTGGATACTCCTGTGGGCTGTGTGTGGGATAGGGTGACAAAATGACCAGCCACAGGCCCTGTCCCCAGGGAGTTTACATGCTAGGAGGAAAGCCAGATGACAAACTCATGGCGAGTCAGCTAGCAGAGGGCGAGGAAACTGACACTTCCAGGCAAGAAGGAAGAGGAGGGATGCCCAAGTGATCTGGAAGGAATTCCTGCTGACTGTGAGCTCCTCCCTGGACAGGCTGGGAGGCATTCACAAGATGTGGGCGGTGTGAGCCCAGGGTTGTTCTGTACACACCTGAGCTTGGGAGAGTGGTATGCACCTTCAGAGGAGCCCTGCGGCACAGGCCCAATCTGTTATACTATATTGTTTAGGGAATAACGACAAGAGAAAAGCCTGTATGTGTTCACTACTGATGCTTTTTTTTTTGTTTTTGTTTTTGTTTTTGTTTTAATATTTTCGACCTGAGTTTGGTTGAATCCATAGATATGGAACCCATGGATGTGGAGAGTACCTGTATGTGCACATGTATAAATGTTTCTCCAAGGCCTTTTTTTGTGCATTTTCCTTTTTAAAAAATTAGTGGTCAGTTGTAGTGGCTCACACCCGTAATCCTAGCACTTTGGGAGGCTAAGGCGGGTGGGTCACTTGAGGTCAGGAGTTTGAGACCAGCCTGGCTAACATGGCGTTCCATCTCTACTAAAAATACAAAAAATCCCAGCAGAGCATGGTGGCACATGCCTGTAATCCCAGCTGCTTGGGAGGTTGAGGCACGAGAATCACTTGAACCCAGGAGGTGGAGGTTGCAGTGAGCTGAGATCGTGCCACTGCACTCCTGCCTGGGTGACAGAGTGAGACTCTGTCTCAAGATAAAATAAAATAAAATAATAAAATAAGTAATTAGCAAGTACAGTTAAGCAAAGGGGGAAACATCTATAATTTTACACTGTGGAGTATCACTATCAGTATTTTATCACATATTTGAAAGTCTTTTTTCTATGCAAATATATATTTATACAATGGGATGTTTCTTTTTAACATATTAGTATCTAGGCATACTGTTTTATAGCGTAGTTTTTCAATCAACAGTAAAAATAAATATACGTAAAATAAGAAAGTGGTAAAATGGTTTGAGAAGGAAAATGAGGTGGGAATTATCCACACAGAGTGGGAAAGGAGGGGCAGGCCCTCTGTTTCTGCACTGGGGGTGTGAGGTGGCCCCAGCCCCTCCTCGCTGCTCTGGAGCCCGGAGTCCAAGGGACTTTCTCACTTGGAGACTCACAGGGGTCTTCCTTCTGCAGGTTCTAGATCTCCACGATAATCAGCTGACAGCCCTTCCTGACGATCTGGGGCAGCTGACTGCCCTCCAGGTAAGGCTGCGGAAACAGAAACCCACCTCAGATGGCCCTAGTGAGACCAGGCAGTCACTCAAGCCTGGAATGTTCTGGCTGTGCTCCAGCCAGTGGAAGCAGGCTGCACTCAGTGCCAGCTCCACCCTCCCCTTGGCTCTTTAGTTTTCGTTGTTGTTGTTGTTTTTGAGACAGTGTCTCACTGCATTGCCCAGGCTGGAGTGCAGTGGCGCCATCTCAGCTCATTGCAACCTCTCCCTGCCGAGTTCAAGTGGTTCTTCTGCCTCAGCGTCCCTAGTAGCTGGGATTACAGGAGTGTGCCACCGCGCCCGGCTAGTTTTTATATTTTTAGTAGAGATGGTGTTTTGCCATGTTGGCCTGGCTGGTCTCGAACTCCTGACCTCAGGTGATCCACCCACTTTGGCCTCCCAAAGTTCTGGGATTATGGGTGTGAGCCACCACACCTGACCAATTGCTACCACTTTGAGCTGCAATAAATACCTTGATGTAGGACTTTTTGTATGTATTTTTTTTTTCTCACTCTGTCACCCAGGCTGGAGTGCAGTGGCACCATCTCAACTCCCTGCAACCTCTGTCTCCCGGGTTCAAGAGATTCTGCCTCAGCCTCCTGAGTATCTGGAATTACAGGCACGCACCACCACACCTGGATAATTTTTGTATTTTCAGTAGAGATAGGTTTTCACCATGTTGGCCAGGCTGACCTCAAACTCCTGGCCTCAAGTGATCCGCCCGCCTTGGCCTCCCAAATTGCTGGAATTACAGGCATGAGCCACTGCACCTGGCCAGTAGGTGTATTTTTATAGAATTGCTGCATTCACTAATTTGGAGCTTTTGGATACCTGACAGTAACTCATAACATCCTTTGGTTCATCAAATATTCATCTTCTCATTATTTTTAATGGCTACTTAGCTTTCCATTGCGTCTTTTTTTTTTTTTCCCCCGAGATGGAGTCTCGCTCTGTCACCAGGCTGGAGTGCAGTGGCGTGATCTCGGCTCACTGCAATCTCCACCTCCCGGGTTCAAGCGATTCCCCTGCCTCAGCCTCCTGAGTAGCTGGAATTACAGGCACATACCACCATGCCCAGCTAATTTTTTGTATTTTAGTAGAGACGGGGTTTCACCATGTCGGCCAGGATGGTCTCGATTTCCTGACCTCGTGATCCACCCACCTCAGCCTCCCAAAGTGCTGGGATTACAGGCATGAGCCCAGCCCCTGTTGCGTCTATTTTTATTTTTTTTTTTTTTTTTCTTTTTTTTTTTTTTTTTTTTGAGACGGAGTCTTACTCTGTCGCCCAGGCTGGAGTGCAGTGGCCGGATCTCAGCTCACTGCAAGCTCCGCCTCCCGGGTTTTCGCCATTCTCCTGCCTCAGCCTCCCGAGTAGCTGGGACTACAGGCGCCCGCCACCTCGCCCGGCTATTTTTTTTTTGTATTTTTTAGTAGAGACGGGGTTTCACCGTGTTAGCCAGGATGGTCTCGATCTCCTGACCTCGTGATCCGCCCGTCTCGGCCTCCCAAAGTGCTGGGATTACAGGCTTGAGCCACCGCGCCCGGCCTGTTGCATCTATTTTTAATGGTTACTTAGTGTTTCATCCTGTTGGCCTCGGTCACCTCAAGGTGCTACCTTCTGGAGGGAGTACAGCTTTGGAATCCAACAAGCCCAGGTTCTGTCCCAGCACCACTACCAGCCTGAGGCCTTGGGTGGATCACATAGCCTTGGGACAGCCAGGTTTCCTTTTCCTTAACGCCGGGGGAACTAGAGCCTCCTGTGCTGCCTCCCCAGATCCCGGAGTCTGTAGTCCCCTTTTCCCTCCCTCCCTGATGGTGGGACAGTTAACTGAGCATTTTGTGGTCAGTTTAAGTGCTGGAACTTCAACCAGAAGTGGTTCAAGGCCTGGCTGTGCTGTCCTGAGCACATGACTTCACTACCCTGAGCTTCGGTTTTTTCCTGTCTCCAGCAGAAACTTAAGAATTTCCGTCTTCCTCAAGGGCTGGCAGGGGGAGATAAGGGCTTGTGTGTGTAGTGCCTGGGTGCCCTGACCTGGCAGGGCAAGGGGTGCGGGGGTCATCACTGTGGTCTGTGTGTGGGTTCTCATGTCACCTCTTCCTCTTTAGTTTTTTTTGTTGTTTTTTTAAGATGGAGTATCACTCTGTTGCCCAGGCGATGCAGTGGCACCATCTCAGCTCACCGCAACCTCCGTCTCACGGGTTCAAGCGATTCTCCTGCCTCAGCCTCCCGAGTAGCTGGGACTACAGGCGTGTGCCACCATGCCCAGCTAATTTTTGTATTTTCAGTAGAGATGGGGTTTCACTATGTTGGCCAGGCTGGTCTTCAACTCCTGACCTTGTGATCCACCTGCCTCAGCCTCCCAAAGTGCTGGGATTACAGGCATGAGCCACTGCGCCTGGCCACCTCTTCCTTTTTCTTAGGTCTTAAACGTGGAAAGGAATCAACTGATGCAGCTCCCGCGTTCCATTGGGAACCTGACCCAGCTCCAGACTCTCAATGTTAAAGGTAGGGACCAAGAAGCCATGTCCATGTGACCCTCCATCAGCTCTGGGCAGTCCTGGCCGGGATCCACAGACTGCCCCGCCCCAGAGCCATTGAGTGGGAAGGCAGCCAGTCTCCAGGGGTCACTGTAAATGGACTGACTCCTGCTGGGTCAGCTGTCTCCGTGGTAACCAGAGACAGGCTGTCGGGAGCATTCTTGTGACTCCTTGGAGCCAGGGCTGTGTGACCGTATGGGGAGGCAGGCAGCTGGGTCCCGAGCCTCCGTCACTTGTATTTGTAATGGTGAGTGTAGTGGACTGATGAGGCAAGAGCTCCCAAGGAGCTGCAGTAAGGTTCTGAGCAGCGCTTCCACCTCCAGTGACACAACAAGCCTCCTGAGGAGTCCACGGGGCAGGCTGAGGGCGGTGATGCCATCCCCAGTTTACACATGAGGAAAACAAGGCCCAGGAAATCGAATGTGACTAGCTCAAGACCACCCAATGGGATGGTGGCAGAGCCAACATTACTGCATAGGTGCCTTACCCGCAGGAGCGCTCTGCTCGCCACACCCATCTCTCTCCCTTCTCCTCGCTGTCCTTAAGCACTTCCTGCACAGAGTGCCTCCATTTATCAACTGTAACATATGAGTAATGAGAACAACAGTGGCGCCCCATTGCTCAGTCATTACAGCGTGAGGGGCCCTGTGCGGAGGACCTCACACATCATCTACCTGAACCTCCAATCTCCCCATGTTCTTATAAGGCTGGGTAGCAGTGTTGTCCCCATTTTCCAGGTGAGAAAACTGGCACAGGGAGGCAAAGCCAGTTGTCTAAAGTCTCGTGGCTAGTAATTGGTGGAGTGGGGACTTGAACTGGAACTCCACCTTCTTGATCCTATGAAACCTCAGGACCTAGGACCTGGTGTGTGCCCCAGAGGTCAGAGTGGCTCCCAGCGGGCATCAGGCAGGAAGCTAGCGATGGAGATTTGGGGTGTTGAGCTGTGCTGTTGGGGTCTCCGCAGACAACAAGCTGAAGGAGCTTCCAGACACCTTGGGGGAGCTTCGAAGCCTGCGTACCCTCAATATCAGTGGAAACGAGATCCAGAGGTTGCCGCAGATGCTGGCTCACGTTCGAACCCTGGAGGTAAATGGGAAGCTGTTTTTGCCTGGGGTGCTCTCTGGCCTGCCCACCTCCCCTCTCCCACATTACTGAGTGCCTGCCCTGATCTCACGGTGCCAGGATCACACAGAGATCCCAAGGCATGGTCCTTGGAAGCTTGTAGAGAGGCCAATGTGTGAACATTCGTAATTATATGACTTTTGCTACCATAATAGAGGCAGATAAACGTACATTAAGAAAGAAGAAGAAAGAAAGCTGAATCCAGAAGAGGCTGACACTTTAAGAAAGTTGTCGGTGGGGAACAACACACACTGAGGCCTGTCAGAGCGGGGTTGTGGGGAGAGCATCAGGAAGAAAAGCTAATGAATGCTGGGCTTAGTACCTGGGTGATGGGATGATCTGTGCAGCAAACCACCATGGCATATGTTTACCTTTGTAACAAAACTGCACATCCTACACATGTACCCCTGAACTTAAAAGTTACAGGAGGAAAAAAAAAAGTAAAAAAAGAAAAAAAAGTTGTGATATTCAAGCCAGATCTTGAAGGAGGAATAAGATTTCTGGGCTGGGTGCCGTGGCTCACGCCTGTAATCCCAGCACTTTGGGAGGCCAAAGTGGGTGGATCACTTGAGGTTAGGAGTTCGAGACCAGCCTGGCCAACATGGTGAAACCCTGTCTCTACTAAAAATACAAAAAATTATCCAGGCATGGTGGCATACACCTGTAATCCCAGCTACTTGGGGGAGGCTAAGACAGGAGAATTGCTTGAACCCAGGAGGCGGCGATTGCAGTGAGCCGAGATTGCACCATTGCACTCCAACCTGGGCAACAAAGCAACACTTTGTCTCCAAAAAAAAAAAAAAGATTCTGAGCAGACCTGGATAACAGGGGCAGCCCAGGTGCAGGAGGCGGGTGGTGGGAAGCACAGGTTGTCTCAGGGAGGGGCGGGGAAGTGATGTGGTTGGAAGCTGCTGAGCCTGTGTGATACGGGGCCCAGAAAGCTGGGAGGGAGTAAAGGAGGTAGGGAGCTGTCGGGATGCGGGTTCAGAATTACCCAGGCCAGGGGAGTTCTACAGGCTAGAAGTCCAAGTTCAAGGTGTTGGCAGGGCTGGTGACTTCCGAGGCCTCTCTCCTTGACTCGGAGGTGCTGTCTTCCCTCCCTGTGTCTTCACCTCGTCTTCCCCGTGTACATGTCCGTGTCCAAATTTCCTCCTCTTAGAAGCACACCAGTCATATTGGATTAGGGCCCAACCTAATGACCCCTTTTTAACTTAATTACCTCCTTAAAGATGCTATCTCCATATACAGCCACATTCTGAAGGATGGGGGATTAGGATTTCCACATAGGAACTTGGGAGGGGGACACGGTTCAGCCTATGACAGACACTGACAGGGGCCGCTGCTCAGGGAAAGTGACTCTCTCAGTCGTGCTGATGAGGTGGCTCACCTTCATCTAGGGCTTTCTAAGACTGGACTTAACCTGGAATCGCTCCATGAATCATCACAGAACTCTTGTGAGGCAGATACTATTGTGCTACTTTGTAGATGAAGAAACTGAGGCATGGGCAGTTTAAGAAACTTGTGCAAGGGCCACGCAGTCACTGACAGCAGAGATGGTTGTAAACCAGGCCATCTGAAGCTGATGCCTGTGCTCCCCATCTCTGAACAACCCGGCTTCTGGAACAGGGACTTCTCCATTCGTGGTGGCACGCAGTCTGGCCAGCATTCCGGAGTGGCCTGGGGTTGACCCCACTCTCAGCCAGCCCAGGCTGCCGAGCAGAGGCTTCTGTGTCAGAATGTGTGGGTGAGCACTGGGACAGCAGAGGAAGGACTGACCTCAGCAGCTGGGGCCCTCCTGCCTGAGGAAGGGCCGGCTGGGGAGACGGGCCAACATGGCTTGTCCTCTCTGCTGCCTACTGGAACTTTCTGCAGTGATGGAAATGTTCAGTGACCGTGCTGTCCAGAGCAGCAGCCGCTGACCATGTGTATCTATTGAGCACCTGGAATGTGGCTTGTGTGTTCAGCCAGGAACTAAAAGTTTGATTTCGTTGAATTTTAATTAATTTATGTTTAAATAGCCATGGGTCCTTGGTGGCTACCATTTTAAACAACACACCTCAGAGCACGTTCCCAGTCCTGAAGCCATCCTCGACATCTAGTACGAGTTCTGGACACTTCAATTTTTTTTTTCTTTGAGACAGGGCCTCATGCTGTCACCCAGGCTGAGGTGCAGTGACTCAATCATAGCTCACTGCAGCCCCAAACTCCTGGGCTCAAGAGATCCTCCTCCTCAGCCTCCCAAGAAATTGGAACCACAGGTGTACTCCATCACACTGGACTAATTTTTTTATTTTTCGTAGAGATGAGGTCCCACTATGTTGCCCAGGCTGGTCGCGAAGTCTTGGACTCAAGCAGTCTTCCCGCCTTGCCTCCCAAGTGGGTGGGATTACAGCCACGAGCCACCGCACCCAACCTAGACACTTCATTTTATTTTGATTCCATAAAAAAAATCTTTTGAGTTTCTTGGTGGCAACTTGGACAAACCTTCTTTTAGGGTGAGATAACCATTCTGAGTTCAGGCCATACTGTGGGCAAGATCTTCTTCAGGTATCACCCATACCGCCCACCAAACAGCTCACCGGGTCAGTAATACTGCCTGTTTGGCTATGAGGGGACCACAGCCCCAGGATGCTAAGCAGCCTGATCAAGCAAACACACGGCCAGCATGCAATGGGCCAGGATCTGAAGCCACAGCGGTGTCCGTGGCACAGCAGTGTCCAGTCACTGCTCCTGCTGCCCACTATAAGAATGCTCTATCATCTGTGCAGCTAACATGGCCACCCTGGCTACTTGTAGCTACTGGGCCCTTGAAATGTGGTGACTGCAACCAACCATGGACCCAGACTTTAAATCAGATTTATTTTCAGTTAATTAAAATGTAACCATAAATGGCCACACGTGGCTTGTAGCCAGCATCCTGGTATAGCCCAGAGTCCGTGCCCTTATGCCACTTCGCTTTACTGATGGTGACTAAGAGCACCCATGTGGGGTTTATTTGCTTCCTGGTATGGGGGTTTCTGCTGTTGGGCCCTCAGCATCTGGGCGGTCAGTTCCTCTTCCCTGGGGCAGTCTCCCACTCCCCTGTGCAAAGCATGTTCACTCAACACCCACCATGTGAGGACTGGGCTGGCCAGGGCTGGGGCACCTGAGCCACCTTCCCACCCAGCCACTTGTGCTACAGCAAAATCAGAGCTTCCCAGGCCTTCTCTTTTTCCAGAACTCCCCTGATACCCAGGCAGAGAGGATATCAGTGCCTGCCAGCACTCGGTGGGATCAGAGGGCCTATGGGAAGTCAGAGTTTGGCAGGGGGAGGGCTGGGTCCAACACAACTCACACCGCGGACGGAGCAGTTCTGTGGCTGTGAGCTGAGGCCCCTGCTTCCTGGGCTTCATAAACACGGAGGCATCTGCCTGTGTGCGCCAATAAACATTTGTCATTACATAATTTAAAATTCATACTGTATATTGTAAAAAAAAAAAAAAAAAAAAAATGCAAATATTAAGAAACATTTCTGCCAGGCATAGTGGCTCAAGCTTGTAATCCTAGCACTTTGGGAGGACGAGGCGGGTGGATCACTTGAGGTCAGGAGTTCAAGACCAGCCTGGCCAACATGGCGAAACCCCATCTTTACTAAAAATACAAAAACTAGCTGGGTGTGGTGGTGCGCGCCTAGAGTTCCAGCTGCTCAGGAGGCTGAGGCAGGAGAATTGCTTGAACCGGGAAGGCAGAGGTTGTAGTGAGCCGAGATCATACCACTGTTCTCCAGCCTGGGCCACAGAGCAAGACTTTGTTTCAAAAATAATAATAATAGTAACATTTCATGTAGATAGTAACCCAGAATCTCCTTTTTGAGGAAACCACTTTGAGTTTGATATATATTCCTCCAATTTTTTTCTATAAAATATTAATGTGAAAGTGTATGAATGTATTATCTAACAAAGGAAGAATCATATATGTGTGTGTGTATATATATATATATATTTTTTTAATAGAGTTGGGGGTCTCGCTATGTTGCTCAGGCTGGTCTCAAACTCCTGGGCTCAAGTGATCCTCCCACCTTGGCCTCCCAAAGTGCTTGGATTACAGGCATGAGCCACTGCACCCAGCCAGTGGAATCACATGCTATATGCTGTCCTATAACTTCTTTTTCTCACTCACTTATGTATTTATCCAAAGTGAACTGAGAGGCCGGGTGCATGACTCACACCTGTAATTCCAACACTTTGAGAGGCGGGCGAATTGCTTGGGTCCAAGACTTTGAGACCAGCCTGGGCAACATAGTAGGACCTTATCTCTACAAAAAATACAAGAGTTAGGCATGGTGCCGTGTGCATATAGTCCCAGCTACTCAAGAGGCTGAAGTGGGAGGATCACTTAAACCTGGGGAGGTCGGCCGGGCGCGGTGGCTCAAGCCTGTAATCCCAGCACTTTGGGAGGCCAAGACGGGCGGATCACGAGGTCAGGAGATCGAGACCATCCTGGTTAACATGGTGAAACCCCGTCTCTACTAAAAAATACAAAAAACTAGCCGGGCGAGGTGGCGGGCGCCTGTAGTCCCAGCTACTTGGGAGGCGGAGGCAGGAGAATGGCGTGAACCCGGGAGGCGGAGCTTGCAGTGAGCTGAGATCCGGCCACTGCACTCCAGCCTGGGCGGCAGAGCGAGACTCCGTCTCAAAAAAAAAAAAAAAAAAAAAAACCTGGGGAGGTCGAGACTGCAGTGGTCGTGCCACTGCACTCCAGTCTGAGCGATGGGAGGGAGAACTTGTCTTAGAAAAATGTAAAAAAGTGCTTGCTTCTGTTGTAACCAAGCGAGTTATAGAGAAACACCACACTTGAGACAAATTAAGGAGTCCTTTATTAGCCAGCTACCAAGAGGCGGCTAACGCTCAAACTTCTCTTGGCCCTGAGGAAGGGGCTAATTTTGTGTTTATAACATGGTCTAAATAGGGGAGGAGGGAGTTTAGCTGAAGCAATTTTTACAGAAGCAGAACTGTCAAAAAGTTAAAAAATTAATTGGTTACAAAAGCAGTTATAAAAAATCAGCAGTTCCAGGTGCAGAGGCTTAAACTATCACAGAGAGATAAATGCCGGGGCTTTGTGTGTCATCCACCGTGTGCGCCTCCCCAGGAGCTGCTGGTGCAGCTTGCCTCTATATCTTATCAGTAAGTGCGTTCCTACACGTGCTTTGAGTCAGTTTACACTAGTTATGCCCTTAAGGGAGGGAGGTAAAAGGGGCTGCAGGTGAAGAAACTGAAATGGAGTCTGTCCGGCTCTCTCTCTGCTAGGAGAGTCATTCAGGTTAAAACAAGGTAGGGTATCACACTGCCTGCCTGCAGTCATCTCAGGCACTGGGAATGCAGCTGTAAGTAACAAGATAGCTCAGTCACCTCTGCTCTCAGGCCATGCCTGCTGGGTGGAGGTGACAGAGGACACACAAATTGATAAGGAAATCGTGTGGTCTCTGGTTGCACTGGTAGTGAACTGCACAGTAAAGCGGGTCCCCCTTGTGTCTGCAGATGCTGAGCCTGGACGCCTCGGCCATGGTCTACCCGCCACGGGAGGTGTGTGGTGCCGGCACCGCGGCCATCCTGCAGTTCCTCTGCAAAGGTAAAGTCAGGCCACCGCCTCCTCCCCCCTCCCCTCACTGAGGAACCATGACCCCCATGGCCACCCTGTGCCAGCCCAGGCTGGGGAACAGCAGAGACAGAAAGAAATGGCCACAGTGCCTACCTGTTTGAGGTTCGAGGTCTGGCAACGGAGGCAGGCAAAACAAGCGATTAGACAGGGAAAGAGTTACAGACTGGTTATGGGAGTACAGTGGCGCGGCTGATATATTTTGGGGCCACAGGGAAGACCTGTCTTTGAGAGTGTGGCTCCACTGACACGGAGTCATGGTTAAGATTTAGAAAAAAGCAGAAAGCTGTTCCGCCAGCAGGTGCATATGGAAGGGCCTTGATGGGAAGTTTGACAGAGAGAGGGCCAGTGTAGCTGGAGTGAGGAAGCAGAGAGAAGAGAGATGGGGGAAGCCAAAGACCGTGCCCGGGCCCAGTGTCCAGTGGGAGAGCATGTAATCAGTCATTAGGCTGCAGGGAGGAGAAGGGATTGGAGGAGGAAAGAAAGACTGCAGGAGGGGACCAGTTAGGTGGCTGTCGGGGTCATCCAGGAGAGCAACGCACAGCAGGAGCTAAAACCCGGAGCCAGCACTGGCTGGAGGCGGGAGGAGAGCAGGATGCCCTGTCAGGCTGGAAGTTCTTAGTGGTTCTGGTCACCTGTGGGACTTTCAGAATGCAACCAAGACACACATGCACACATACTTATGATAACCTGACTTATCATGGCCTTTGCAAAACAGTGGGGAAGGATGGTCTTTTCAATAGCTGATTCTGGATCAACTGGATGTTGCTGTGGAAAAAATGAACTTTAACCTCTTCCTTAAACAGGAGGCAGGCAGTACTCATTATAAAAGATTGGTACATTCAGTTTAATTAAGGCTGGACATGGTGGCTTGCGCCTGTAATCCCAGCTCTATGGGAGGCCAAGGCAGGAGGATCTAGAGCCCAGGAGTTTAAGACCAACTTAGGCAACATGGTGAAACCCTGTCTCTACAAAAAAAAAAAAATACAAAAATCAGCCAGGCGTGGTGGCGTATGCCTGTGTTCCCAGCTACTTGGGAGAGTGAGGTGGAAGGATCACTTGAGCCTGAGCTGTGATGATGCCACTGCACTCCAGCCGGGAGCAAGACTCCAGCAGAGCGATACCCTATCTCAAAAACAAAAACAAACAAATAAAAAAAAAGATTTAATTAAAATCAAAATTTCTCTTCCTCAAAAGATACCATTTAGGGAAAGAAAAGGAAAGCCGTAAAGTTAGAGATGATATTTGCAATACATATATATCCAACAGAGGACTGGGATCTGGACTATAAACAGAAATCCTACAGATCCACGAGGAAGACATTAGCAAAAGACTTGACTAAGAATTTTTACAAGAGAATGTCCACACAGTGGCTCGCACCTGTAATCCCAGCACTTTGGGAGGCTAAGGTGGGCAGATAACCTGAGGTCAGGAGTTTGAGACCAGCCTGGTCAACATGGTAAAACTCTGTCTCTACTAAAAATACAAAAACTAACTGGGCATGGTGGCAGGCACCTGTAATCCCAGCTACTTAGGAGGCTGAGGGAGGAGAATCGCTTGAACCTGGGAGGCGGAGGTTGCAGTGAGCTGAGATTGTGCCACTGTGCTCCAGTCTGGGTGACAGAGCAAAATTCTATCTCAAAAAGAAAAAGAGAGAGAGATGATATACAGATAATGAACAGTATCTGAAAAAAGTGCACAACATCATCTTAATCAATGGGAAAATGCAAATTAAAACTGCAGAGAGTTACTTCGACACACCCACTAAAATGGCCAAAAGTTTTCAATGGAAAAAAAAACACAAACTTCCTGCTAACAAGTCAACCAAAAATAAAAAACAAAAAATAGGCTGGGCGCGGTGGCTCACACCGGTAATCCCAGCACTTTGGGAGGCCAAGAAGGGCGGATCATGAGGTCAGGAGATCAAGACCATCCTGGCTAACACGGTGAAACCCCGTCTCTACTAAAAATCCAAAAACCTTAGCCAGGCGTGGTGGCAAGTGCCTGTAGTCCCAGCTACTCAGGAGGCTGAGGCAGGAGAATGGCGTGAACCCGGAAGGCGGAGCTTGCCGTGAGCCAAGATTGCACCACTGTACTCCAGCCTGGCTGACAGAGTGAGACTCCATCTCAAAAAAATAAATAAAATGGCCAAAATTGAACTGGCAGTACCAAGAATTAGCAAAGATGTGGGAGCAACAGGAACTTCCATATACTGCAGGTGGGAAGGTAAAGTGAAAATTGCCTTAAAAATTATTCTCAATATCTTCTCAAGCTGAACATTCAAATATCCTATGGCCCATGAGTTCCATTCCTAGGTACATGCCTCTATTAGTCTGTTCTCACACTGCTATGGAGAAATTCCCAATTTCTATGAAGAAATTCTTTATAAAGAAAAGAAGTTGGCCGGGCGTGGTGGCTCAAGCCTGTAATCCCAGCACTTTGGGAGGCCGAGATGGGCGGATCACGAGGTCAGGAGATCAAGACCATCCTGGCTAACCAGGTGAAACCCCATCTCTACTAAAAAAATACAAAAAACTAGCCGGGCGAGGTGGTGGGCGCCTGTAGTCCCAGCTACTCGGGAGGCTGAGGCAGGAGAATGGCGTAAACCCAGGAGGCGGAGCTTGCAGTGAGCTGAGATCCCGTCACTGCACTCCAGCCTGGGTGACAGAGCAAGACTCCATCTCAAAAAAAAAAAAAAGTTTAATTTACTCACAGTTTCACATGGCCAGGGAGGCCTCAGGAAACTTATAATCATGGCAGAAGGTACCTCTTCACAGGGCAGCAGGAGAGAGAATGAGTGCCAAGTGAAGAGGGAATCCCCTTATAAAACCCGCAGATCTCATGAGAACTCACCCGCCGCCATGAGAACAGCATGGGGGAACTGCCCCCATGATCTAATCACCTCCCTCAAGGTCCCGCCCCCAACACATGGGGATTAAAAGTCAGACATTTAGGCGGGGACACAGGGCCAGACCATATCAATGCCCAACGGAGACGCATATGAATAAATGCCAAAAGCCATGTGCAAAAATGTTTCTAGCAGCACTATTTATACCAGTCCAAACTGGAAACAGCTTTAATGTCCATCAGGAGTAGAATGGATAACTAGACTGTTTTATACTCATGTGTGGATACCACACAGCAAGTGGAAAGAATGAGCCACTGCCCCTTCCAACAACCTAGATGAGTCTCACAAACAATGTGGAGTGCAAGGAGCCAGACACAAAGGAATACATGCTCATGTCAGTCACCACAGAGCTTTGAACCAGCACTGGTTCCTGGTCATGAGAGTGTGTTCACCTTTAAACATTCATCAGGCTCTGCGTGAAGATTCTGTGCTCTCAGTTGGCCCAAAGGCAGTGAGTTATCTCAATTGATTGCTCACAGTCAGTTACAGATTTAAGTCCTTGTTCTACTCGTTCCCCTCTTCTCACTGCTGCACTTGACTAATCTTAAAAAAGAGAGAGAGAGAAAGATTTTGTGCTCTTTTCTTTATCTATGTTATATTTCACTTTAAAAGAAAGTGGAGGGGTTGGCTACAGTCATAGCTACCAGCCCGCACATATGCAAATTAGTCTTCGAGCAACAGGTGATTCCAGTGTACACCCTGGCCAGTGGCTGAGTTAGCTAGACCAAAGCCTTTATTTTCTTTCAAAAGATTTTGGGGCTGAACAAGGTGGCTCACACCTGTAATCCCAACATTTTGGGAGGCCAAGGCGGGTGGATCGCTTGAGCCCAGGAGTTCAACATGGGCAACATGGCAAAACTTCATCTCTACAAAAAATGCAAAAATTAGCCCAGCTTGGTGGCACACCTGTAATGCCAGCTGCTCAGGAGGCTTAGATGGGAGGATTACTTGAGCCTAAGAAGCGGAGATTGCAGTGAGCCAAGATCGCACCACTGCACTCCAGCCCGGGTGACAGAGAGAGACCTTGTGTTTAACAAAAAAACAAAAGATTCTGAGCCAGGCGTGGTGGCTCACACCTGTAATCCCAGCACTTTGGGAGGCTGAGGCAGGTGGATCACCTGAGGTCGGGAGTTTCAGACCAGCCTGACCAACATGGAGAAACCCCGTCTCTACTAAAAATATAAAAACTAGCTGAGCGTGGTGACGCATGCCTGTAATCTCAGCTACTCAGGAGGCTGAGGCAGGAGAATCACTTGAACCCGGGAGGTGGAGGTTGCAGTGAGCCAAGAATGCGCCATTGCACTCCAGCCTGGGCAACAAAAGCAAAACTCTGTCTCAAAAAAAAAAAAAAAAAAAAGATTTTGACTGAGCACGGTGGCTCACACCTGTAATCCCAGCACTTTGGGAGGCCCAGGCGGATGGATCACTTGAGGTCAGGAGTTCCAGACCAGCGTGGCCAACATGAAACCCCGTCTCTACTAAAGATACAAAAATACGTGGTGGTGAGCACCCATAGTCCCAGCTACTCACGAGGCTAAGGCAGGAGAATTGCTTGAACCCAGGAGGTGGAGTTCAAGGGAGGTGGAATGAACGCCACTGCTCTCCAGCTTGGGTGATAGAGTGAGACTTCTCAAAAAAAAAGAAAAAAAAAATGAAATTATGCAATATTTAGATATATGCTAGTCATAAAGAATAAAGGAGTGAATGTATGTATACCTACTACACAGCTTGAGAAGTAATTTTTCTTTTTTGTTTTTTTTTGAGATGGAGTCTCGCTCTGTCACCCAGGCTGGAGTGCAGTGGCAAGATCTCGGCTCACTGCAGCCTCCGTCCCTCCAGGTTGAAGCGATTCTCCCGTCTCAGCCTTCTGAGTAGCTGGGATTACAGGCGCCTGCCACCACGCCTGGCTAATTTTTGTATTTTTAGTAGAGACAGGGTTTCGCCACGTTCACCAGGCTGGTCTCGTATTCTTGACCTAAGGTGATCCACCCGCCTCGACCTCCCAAAGTGCTGGGATTACAGGCGTGAGCCACCACGCCCAGCAAGAAATAAATTTTTTTTGAGACAGAGTCTCGGTGTCACCCAGGCTGGAGTGCAGTGGTGCAATCTTGGCTCACTGCAACCTCCGCCTCCCAAGTTCAAGCGATTCTCCTGCTTCAGCCTCCTGAGTAGCTGGGATTACAGGCATGTGCCACCACGCAGCTAATTTTTGTTTTTTTAGTACAAAAATATTGTACTAAATGTTGGTCAGGCTGGTCTTGAACTCCTGACCTCGTGATCCACCTGCCTCAGCCTCCCAAAGTGCTGGGATTACAGGCATGAGCCACCATGCCTGGCCAAGAAATAATTCTTCAATTTACCTAAACTATGTAGGAGTACATATATATATATATAAAATTTGTTTTTTGACCTTTTTAAAAACATTAAAGAGGCCGGGTGTGGTGGCTCATGCCTGTAATCCCATAACTTTGGGATACCAAGACGGGCGGATCTCCTGAGGTCAGGAGTTCGAGACCAGCCTGACCAACATGCCGAAACCCTGTCTCTACTAAAAATGCAAAATTAACTGGGCATGGTAGTGCTTGCCTATAATCCCAGCTACTTGGGAGGCTGAGGCAGGAGAATCGCTTGAACCCGGGAGACGGAGGTTACAGTGAGCAGAGATCGCACCACTGCACTCCAGCTCGGTGACAGAGCAAGACTCCATCTCAAAAAATGAAAACATATAAATAAATAAAAATAAAAATAGACATTAAAGAAACCATGAAAGATATCATATGATGTGATTCTATGCCTTGCTTTTTTTCTCTCTCTCAATAAAAGTCTTGGGTATTTTCCAGTCTCATAATATGGTTTAAATGTCCCCTTAAACTGGTCACAGGATTTCATGTGGTGGCACCAGTAGCTTTGTAGCCATCCCTGTGGTGAACACGGAGGGCATTTCCAGTTTCCTGCTGTTCTGAACTTTTTTTTTTTTTTTTTTTTTTTTTTGAGACGGAGTCTCGCTCTGTCACTCAGGCTGGAGTACAGTGGTTGGATCTCGGCTCACTGCAAGCTCCACCTCCCAGGTTTAGGCCATTCTCCTGCCTCAGCCTCCCGAGTAGCTGGGACTACAGGTGCCCGCCACCTCGCCTGGCTAGTTTTTTTGTATTTTTTAGTAGAGACGGGGTTCCACTGTGTTAGCCAGGATGGTCTTGATCTCCTGACCTTGTGATCCGCCCGTCTCGGCCTCCCAAAGTGCTGGGATTACAGGCTTGAGCCACCGCGCCCGACCTTGTTCTGAACATTTGAACCGACACCTCTCTGTCACTGTGTGCACTTTTCCCTAGGGTGGGTGAGAGGGCACGAGCACCCTAGGGTGCCTGGGAAGAGGTCCCACCTGTGTCCATCCCATGAGGAGTGGCTGGGAGGACCTTTCTCCCCCATCACAACCTGCGTAACACGCAGTATTATCTTAAAGACTCTGCTAATTGGACGGATAACAAGAGAGCCCATTATTATTCTAACGTCACTTCCTTGATTCTGTGAATATTTTTCATATGTATTCTGCCCATTTTTAGCATTTCTTGTGACCTGACTGTATCCTTCCCATGAGGGGAAAATGATAACTTTGAGTACATCAAAACTTACAACTTGTTTACCCCAGAAGGACACCATCATCAAAGTTAGAAGACCAGTTATCACCTGGAAGAACATAGTTACAACATATTATAGACCTAAGGTTATTAACTACAATATATAAAGAGCACCTACAAATCAACAGGAAAAAGACAGCCAAATAGGAAGTGGGTCTAAGGTATGAACCCTTTGGAATTTTACAGGCAAAACAATACACGACCAGAGAAGGAAAGCATCTTGCCCAAGGTCTCACATTCAGGGAATTATTGGTAGAGCTGGATCTAGGACCCAGGTGTCACTTCTTATCTCAGGCTTTTTCATCACCTCATTCTCACTTGGGTGGAAGGTATAGCCAGTACCCATTGACTCACTCTGCTGACATTTGCTGGGCACCTGCCACATTCCAGGCCCAGGGCTAGGACCCGTGAAAACCACAGAGCGCCCAAGCTAGGGAAGAGGAGAGCAGTGGCTGAGTCAGGGCGGGGCCGGCTGCCCTGGCAGTGGGAGCAGGTGTCTCCTGGTACCTCAGCTGTCTCCTCCCTCCTGGTCAGCTTGTGTCTCCTCTCTTACAGAGTCAGGGCTGGAATACTACCCCCCTTCTCAGTACTTGCTACCTGTTCTGGAGCAAGATGGAACCGAGAACTCTCGGGACAGCCCCGATGGGCCCACGGACAGATTCTCAAGGGAGGAATTAGAGTGGCAGGTAAGACAAGCCAGCCTGCTGCACGCATATGTGTGTGCGTGTGTGTGTGTGTGTGTTGAGGGAGCTGGGAATGGAAGGTGGGTGCGTGGTTCAGAGCTGCAGCTCCCGGATTCCTCCATAGAACTAGAACTGGCCTCCCGAAGAGTTGAACTGCTTTTTCAAGGCCTGCTGTGGCAGCCTCATCCCACCAGCTTGCCAAGCACAAGCTGTGCCCTGCTGCTCTCTGTTCCCTGAACTAACCACGATCCTTCCCGCTTCAGGGCCTTTGAATAAGCAGCTCCCTCTGTCTGGAATCTCCCCACTCACTTGTCTTATCCTTCAGTTCTTTTTTTTTTTTTTTCCCTTTTTTTGAGACAGGGTCTTGCTCTGTCACCCAGGCTGGAGTGCAGTGATGCGATCATAGCTCACTGCAGCCTCAACCTCCCGGGCTCAAGTGATCCTCCCGCCTCAGACTCCCAAAGTGCTGGGTTTATAGGCATGAGCCACCGTGCTCAGCCTCCTTCAGTTCTCAGTTTAAACATTACATCCTCTGAGAAGCTCCAACCCAGGTCAGGTCTCCTGTTGTGTGTTCTCAGAGTGCCCTGCACAGTTCCTTGGTAGCACTTACCACAGTGCTAAATTGGTGAGGAACTCTGGGAAATGATCTGTCTCATGTCTGTCTCCCCTGCTGGATGAAGCTTTGTGAGAATAGGGATTGTGTCTGCAATATTCATTGCTCTCTCTCAGCAAATACTTCTGAACCAAATGCCACTCACTGTCTGGAACACACACCCACCATGCTCTGGGTCTAGTGAAGGAGTCAGACAGGCACATGTGTGAGCACCAGTGATGGGCTGGCCCTGTCAGGTCCTGGCAATAAGCTAGCACAGGATGACATGGAGGAGGAAGCCCAAAGGGTTTGCCACATTAGCCTGGGTGTACCCTCTGCCCCCATCCCCAAGGCTCACGATCCAGGGTCCTCTGCTGGCTGGTAGATAGGGGAGGCCATCACCGGGCAGGAGTGCCAGCTGCCAGGCATTTGGAAGTCATATCTTCCAGTGACTCTTAATCTCTGGTTCCTAGATGCCACCCTTACACATTTTCCACTGCTGCTGGGAATGCATTTGGGACTTTATTATTATTATTTTATAGTTCAACAAGAACTGTATGGGAAAATTGTGCCAGTTCACATTCTCAGAAAATATTTGCAACATAGTCACTTGCTAAAGGATTCAGAGATTGAATGTAGAAAAAAACTCTTTCCAATCAGTAAGAAGAAAACCATCCCAATAGAAAAAAATATTGGAAGGCCAAGGCAGGTGGATCACTTGAGGCCAGGAGTTTGAGACCAGCTTGGTCAATGTAGTAAAACCCTGTCTCTACTGAAAATGCAAAACTTAGCCAGGCATGGTGGCGTGCACACGTAATCACAGCTACTCGGGAGGCTGAGGCACAAGCATCACTTGAATCCAGGAGGCAGCGGTTGAAGTGAGCCAAGATTGCGCCACTGCACTCCAGCCTGTCCAGGTGACAGAGTGAGACTCCATCTCAACAAATAAACATTTAAAAATGCCAACTTTGCTGGTAATCAGAGGAGAGGCATGTAAGTTAAAACAACATTGAAATACCATTTCCTTCCTCGAGATTGGCACACATTTTGACATAACAATTTCTGTCGGCCAGAGTGTGGGAAACAGGTGTCCTCATAAACTGCTCTTGGGAGTGAAAATTGATATCACTACTTTGGAGGATAATTTGACAGTAGATGTCAAAAAAAAAATTTTTTTTTTTTTTTTTTTTTTTTTTTTTTTTGAGACGGAGTCTCACTCTGTTGCCCAGGCTGGAGTGCAGTGGTGCAATCTCGGCTCACTGCAACCTCCACCTCCCGGGTTCAAGCGATTCTCCTGCCTCAGCCTCCCAAGTAGCTGGGATTACAGGCATGCACCACCATGCCTGGCTAATTTTGTATTTTTGGTAGAGACAGGGTTTCACCATGTCGGCCAGGCTGGTCACAAACTCCTGACCTCAAGTGATCTGCCCACCTTGGCCTCCCAAAGTGCTAGGATTACAGGTGTGAACCACTACACCCTCCAGATGTCAAAAATTTTCATGGGCGCAGCCCGTGATCCAGAAGTTCCGCTTCTCAATGTATACCCAAGAGAAAAGCTTGCACAAGGAGACATTTGCAGGAGTGTTTATTGCAGCCTTATTTGTAGTATTGGATGCCCCCCAAATGTTTGTCAGTGGGAAGGGGCTGCCCCTGGGTCATGTGCACACCATGAGATGGAGCATTTGAGCCTCGGCTCGCCAGGATGCATGGATTAGTGAAAAGAGCAGATTGCAGAACAGGATGGGCTAGTCTATTTCCATTCTTACATTTAAAAAGAAAACTCAATCAACACCAGCCTGGGCAATGTGGCGAGACCCTGTCTCTACAAAAAATACAAAAAAATTAACCAGGCATGGTGGCACGTGCCTGTGGCCCCAGCTACTAGGGAGGCTAAGGTGGGAGGATGGCTTAAGCCCAGGAGGTTGGAGTTTGCAGTGAGCCAAGATTACACCACTGCACCCCACGCTGGGTAACAGAGCTACCCTGTCTCAAAAAAGAAAAAGAAAACTCAAAACAAAAAAAGGAAGCAGATAGGTAGTTGCCAGTGGCTGGAGTGGGAAGAGGACTTGATGATGAAGTGGCATGAGGGAATTTTCGAGGGTGATGGAATTGTTTTCTTTTTGCTTTTTGAGATAGTCTCACTCTGTCGCCCAGGCTAGAGTGCAGTGGCATGACCTCAGCTCACTGCAACCTCTGCCTCTCAGGTTCAAGTGATTCTCCTGCCTTAACCTCCCGAGTAGCTTGGATTACAGGCGCCTGCCACCACGCCTGGATAAGTTTTGCATTTTGTTAGTAGAGATGGGGTTTCACCATGCTGGCCAGTCTGGTCTCTATTAAAAATACAAAAAATCAGCCGGGTGTGATGGTGGGTGCCTGTTTTCCCAGCTACTTAGGAGGCTGAGGCAGGAGAATTACTTGAACCCAGCAGGTGGAGGTTGCAGTGAGCCAAGATTGTGCCACTGCACTCCAGCTTGAGCAACAAGAGCAAAACTCCATCTCAAAAAAAAAAACCTAACTCTTGTGTATCTATGTATTGATGTTTAATTACATCAATAATTCATTAAACATCAATAATAGAATTGCTCCTTATAATAAATCTTGCTCCAATAATATACCTGCTCCTTATAATAAATTTAAACGATACAGACAATTACAAACCAAGTGAATGTCAGCCCTTCCACCCTGCACTCCCGTTGCCTGGAGGTAGTCATCATTGACTGATTAATGACTGTCCTTTCCTGACCTTTGACTCAATACATACACACATAGGCTCAGAGTTGAGTTTTCTTGATGATGTTTTTGCAAAAGTAGAATCGTGCTACACACAGGTGAGGGATCACACACATTCACGCCGTTGGCAGTTGTGTAATAGTCCACTATATGGATGCACCATGATTTACGGACAGACGCTGATAGATGTGCGAGTTATTTCCAGTGTTTTTGCTCTTTTGAATAATTCTGCATGAAGTTGTCCCCACACCTTTGTGCATTGTGAATATTTTGGTGGACTGAAACTGGGTGCTGTAGGTGTATTACGCAGACATCCATGGGCATCAGATATCCCATTTCCTGCTCTGCTCTTCAGACCGCCATCCCTGCTGAGGGCTGCATCCCAGGACTGTCTTGAAGACCCCCCTCCTATGGTGCCACGCACACAGTGGCAGCCCAGGGGTTCTCATCAGGTGTCCACTGGAACCACCTGGTGCCCTTGATCGATACGGATCCCCTCGTCCCCTGACCCCACCATTCTGAGGCAGTAGTCTGGGGTGGGCCAGAGTCTGTATAACATCAGGCCACCCAGGGGTTCCTGGTGCCTATGCCAGGGAGAACCACTGCTGCCACCCTCTCTTGACCACTGTCTTTTTTTCCTCCCAGAACAGGTTCTCAGACTATGAGAAGAGGAAGGTAAGAAAATGCCTTTACCCTTCTGTCACTCTTTTCTCATTAAAGATCTCAAATCAACTTAGAAAATATTTGAGAAAATGACTTCTTCCCAGCTCAGAATTAGAGGTCACAGTAATGCCTTCCTCTTACATGCACGGTCTGCTGCATCCTCACGTGCCTTGGGTGGGTGGGAGAGCATCCATGGGACAGGTGCAGAGACTGAGGCTCAGAGGGGTTGAGCCCAGCCCCAGGCTCTAGACCCCAGCCTCTTCCTGTTAACAGCTTGTTTTATTACAGTTGGGCCCTGGAAGGAGGGAATTGGGGGTTGCTCAGCATGAAGACCTGGAACCTGCACTGTCAGTGTTGAGGGATGGATTCTCCCTATTTCTATGTCCTAACTCCCCCAGGGCCTGTGCTGACAGTTACCAGGATCTGTGTCTTGCAGGAACAGAAGATGCTGGAGAAACTCGAGTTCGAACGGCGCCTGGAACTGGGGCAGCGGGAGCACGCCCAGCTCCTTCAGCAGAGCAGCAGCCAGAAGGATGAGATCCTTCAGACGGTTAAGGAGGTTTGTGAGCTGCCTGCTAGGGTCGAGCCTGGCTGCACCCCCCAGCCAGTGGCCTCCTGGCTTGGGGCGAGGTCCCTGGGGTGTGGAAAGGCAGTGGGATGAAGCTGTCACTTCCTTCTGTCCCCCAGCACCTGGGAGGGCCCTTACAGATCACCCAGGCCAGCCTCCCCGTGTGCAGATGGACACTCTGAGGCCTGCCAGGAGGAGCTGGCCCGTGGCCACACAGAAAGGACTGGCAAGGCGGGGTGGAAAGACAGCCTCCTAACCCCAGTCAGTACCCTTCACAGCATCTGAGGGGGTCCCAGGGGCTCAGGACCCCCACCTCCTGCTGCAGGAGCAGTCCCGGCTGGAGCAGGGCCTGAGTGAGCGCCAGCGCCACCTCGATGCAGAGCGGCAGCGGCTGCAGGAGCAGCTGAAGCAGACAGAACAGAACATCTCCAGCCGGATCCAGAAGCTGCTGCAGGAGAATCAGAGGTTGGGCTCTGCTCCTGGGCCCCAGCCCCAGAATCCTTCCCCAGGCAGTCCCCTGAGGCGCCAGGAGGAGTGTGTTTCTCCGTCACCACCTCTGCTCTTGCCCCGGGCTTCCCTTGTCAGGATCCAGTCTGGGTGCTTCAACTGGCACCAGCGTACAGAGAAAAGAATCTGACCCAGGCATTACAAATTCTGGTTTCTTAGCATGAGACTGCTACCAGATTGGACCTGTGGCCTCAGGCAAGTGCTTCCCCACTGGGTCCCAAGCTTCCCATCTATAAAGTGAGTGGGTTCGACTAGATAGTTGGGATCACATCTGCTCCAGTATTTTAGGTTCTACGTAACTCGTTGCACTGAGGTCAGCTATTCACCTGTAGTGAGATTTGCCTTAACAAACTCTGCAAGGTAGGAGCTACTGAGAGCAGATCTTGATGGGGCTGGGGAGACATGGTGCCAGAGAAGCCTAAGAAGTCTAGTGAGGGGGTCCATTGCAGGACCATTCCAGAAACAGACTCTAGCCATATGCGCTGCTGCTTCCAGGCCTCCTTTTTCTAACCCTGAATCACTTGTTCCTCCATCACCTGTCAGTTTCACAGTACCTGCATGAGTTCAGGAAACCGGTCACTTGTTGGGTGCTTCTTATGTGCCAGCTTGTTACATCTATTTCCTCATTAACTCTACAAATTCACCAAGAAGCTGAGTTGTTTTTGTTTTGTTTTGTTTGAGACAGAGTCTTACTCTGTCACTGAGGCTGGAGTGCGGTGCAATCTCGGCTCACTACAACCTCCTCCTCCCAGGTTCAGGGAATTCTCTTGCCTCAGCCTCCCAAGGAGCTGGGACTACAGGCTCAGCTATCAGATATCCCATTTCCTGCTCTGCTCTTCAGACCACAGCCACCACGCCTGGCTAATTTTTGTAGAGACAGGGTTTCTCCATGTTGACCAGGCTGGTCTCGAACCCCTGACCTCAAGTGATCTATCCACTTCAGCCTCCCAAAGTGCTGGGATTACAGATGTGAGCCACTGTGCCCGGCTGGGTTTTTTTATTCTTCTAATTTCTTAGGTGAGGAAACCTGGGACTTGAGTGGTTTCAGTAACTGGCTAAGAACCCAGAGCTCCTAGGTGGTGGAGCTAAGGGGCCCCCAGCCCATTTCCTAAGCCCCTCTGCACAGCCAGGGCAGTGAGACAGGAAACAGGCCTGCTGGGGACTGCCGGGACCTTTTATGATTTTCTCCACAGACAAAAGAAAAGCTCCGAGATTTTGAAATCGCTGGAAAATGAAAGGTAAGTGTTCTTCCAGGGGAGGGCAGTTTTTTTGTTTTTTTGTTTTTTTGTTTTTAGACGGAGTCTTGCACTGTCGCCAGGCTGGAGTGTAGTGGCGCAATCTCAGCTCAATGCAACCCTCGCCACCCAGGTCCAAGCGATTCCCCTGTCTTAGCCTCCCAAGTAGCTGGGACTACAGGCGTGCACCACCACGCCCAGCTAATTTTTTGTATTTTAGTAGAGATGGGGTTTCACCATGTTGGCCAGGATGGTCTCGATCTTCTGACCTCATGATCCGCCCTCCTCGGCCTCCCAAAGTGCTGGGATTACAGGCATGAGCCGCTGTGCCCAGCTGAGGAGGGCAGCTTTGAGGAGAGAATATCTTATGATTCTCCAGAGGATTGTGCCAGGACATTTCCCTAAAGCTGTAAGGAGATTCACCTCTTTAGAGGATATTTATTTATTTATTTATTTATTTTTATTTTTTATTTATTTTTTTTTTTTGAGATGGAGTCTTGCTCTGTCGCCCGGGCTGGAGTGCAGTGGCCCGATCTCAGCTCACTGCAAGCTCCGCCTCCCGGGTTTACGCCATTCTCCTGCCTCAGCCTCCCGAGTAGCTGGGACTACAGGCGCCCGCCACCTCGCCCGGCTAGTTTTTTTTTGTGTTTTTAGTAGAGACGGGGTTTCACTGTGTTAGCCAGGATGGTCTCGATCTCCTGACCTCGTGATCCGCCCGTCTCGGCCTCCCAAAGTGCTGGGATTACAGGCTTGAGCCACCGAGCCCGGCCTAGAGGATATTTAATTACAAAGAATCATTCCCTTCAAGTTCATTAAAATATATGTAAACTCCTGAAAAACATTCAGAGACATGAATAAGGCTATATTTATAATGTCCAACTATATTCCTAGTATAAAAAGTTCAGGCCAGGCTCAGTGGCTCACGTCTGTAATCCAGCACTTTGGGAGACTGAGGTGGACAGATCACTTGAGGTCAGGAGTTCGAGACCATCCTGGCCAAAATGGCAAAACCCTGTCTCTACTAAAAATCAAAACTTAGCCAGGAGTGGTGGCAGGCGCCTGTGGTTCCAGGTTAAAAAAAAAAAAAAAAAATTCAGAAAAGAAATCTACATTTCTGGAAAGAAAAATTATTTAGTTACATAAATTATGTATGGAGGAATAACCTACAGCCATTAAATGTCTTATTGAATAATATTTCTCATTAAGGGAAAACATAACATATTGCTAATGGAAAAAGTGACAGGCTATATTTAAAGCAGAATTTTTTGTGTATTTTTTTTTTTTTTTTGAGATGGAGTCTCACTTCATCGCCCAGGCCGGAGTGCAGTGGCATGGTCTCAGCTCACTGCACGCTCTGCCTCCCATGTTCACACCATTCTCCTGCCTCAGCCTCCTGAGTATCTGGGACTACAGGTGCCCACCACCATGCCCGGCTAATTTTTTTTTGTATTTTTAGTAGAGACGGGGTTTCACTGTGTTAGCCAGGATGGTCTCGATCTCCTGACCTCATGATCCTCCTGCCTCGGCCTCCCAAAGTGCTGGGATTACAGGCGTGAGCCACTGCGCCCGCAACTTTTTTTTTTTTTTTTTTTTTTTTTTTTGAGACGGAGTCTCACTCTATCACCCAGGCTGGAGTGCAGTGGCACGATCTCGGCTCACTGCAATTTTTTCCAACTCCCTAGTTCAAGCGATTCTCCTGCCTCAGCATCCCGAGTAGCTGGGACTACAGGCGCGGTGCCACCAGGCCCGGCTGATTTTGTATTTTTAGTAGAGATGGGGTTTCACCATGTTGGCCAGGCTGGTCTCAAACTCCTGACCTCAAGTCATCCGCCCGCCTCAGGCTCCCAAAGTGCTGCGACTACAGGTGTGAGCCACCGCACCCGGCCATGTGACTATTTGTGAAGGAAATATTTAAAGGATATTTCGTTAGGTGCCAGCTTAGCTTCCCAAAAACATTCTGCCAGTTGACACTCCTCTCAGCAGGCTAGGAAAGTGCGCATTTCTCCACCATCGTCACCTTCACCAGCACCAGCAGTTACCAGTTTTCTTCATCTCAACCAACCTAGTAGGGGAAAAGGTTTTACTTTCTTTAGTTACCAGTCATGTTAAGCATCTTTCTGGATGTTTATTGATCACTTGAATTTCAGCATTGGCTATTTGCTTCTTTTGCCCATTTTATAAGGGAGTGTCCATCTTTTTACACAAGATACTCGAACTACAGGCTGAAGGCGAACAGGGCCCCAAGGGTTGCTGGTGATGTGTTAGGCATCCAGAGAGCCCATCCAGGTGTAGGTTGCCAAATCAAGGAGGCCTTCCTGGAGGAGGTGGTGTTCATCTGCTGGGATTTCCTGTTGGAAATGTTAAATTTGCTGAATGAATGGATGGATTTTTTTCTAGAATAAGAATGGAACAGTTGATGTCCATAACCCAGGAGGAGACTGAGAACCTGCGGCGACGTGAGGTTGCCTGTGAGTTTCGGGATGGGGAGCTCGTGAGCACGCTGCCTGCTGGCCAGGCTGGCAGGGTGGATGGCCCTCCCTCTGTTGGCCATGCATGGAGGGCATTGAGTGTTGGCTCTCGAGAGGGGCAGTCAAGTCCCGCCATGGAGCACAGGCTCTGGGGTCAGCTAGACGTGGATTCAGAGTCCCAGTTCAGACACCCACCATGTGACCTTAGGGACATTACTGCTCCCCAACTTTTCCAAGCCTTGGTTTTCTTAGCTACAAAATGGAGGAAATGGGCCAGGTGTGGGGGCTCATGCCTGTAATCCCAGTGCTTTAGGAAGCCAAGGCTGGAGGATCACGTGAGCCCAGGAGTTCAAGGCTGCAGTGAGCTGTGATCACGCTACTGCACTCCGGCCTGGGTAACACAGCGAAACTGTTTCTCAAAAAAACGAAAAGAAAATCCAAATGCCCCCAACTAGAGGATTATTTAAATAAATGTTGGTGATCCATGTGCTGTGGCACTCTGGTATTAGCATCCCATTAACATGTCATCATGGGGAGTGTTCATAAAAAGTGGGAAGTGGGATGATACCATTTTCATTTTTTTAATTGTAAAATATGCATCATGTAAAATTTACTATCTTAATCACTTTATTTTATTTTATTTTATTTATGTTTTGAGACAAAGTCTCGCTCTGACGCTCAGGCTGGAGAACAGTGGTGTGATCTTGGCTCACTGCAACCTCCACCTCCCAGGTTTAAGCAATTCTCTGCCTCAGCCTCTGAGGAGCTGGGATCACAGATGCACACCGCCACACCAGGCTAATTTTTGTATTTTTGGTAGAGACGGGGTTTTGCCACGTTGGCCAGGCTGGTCTTAAACTCCTTACCTCAAGTGATCCGCCTGCCTCGACCTCCTGAAGTGCTGGGATTACACGCGTGAGCCACTGTGCCCGGCCTTCATTTTAAAATAGATTAGTTCTGTGGCATTATTGTTGTACAGCTGCCAGCACCACCCATCGCCAGAACTTTTTCATCTTCCTCAACTGAAACTGTCCCTAGTAAGCACTAACTCCCCATGCCCCCCTCCCCTCAGCCCCTGGGAATCAACGTTCTACTTTCTGTGTATGGATTTGACTGTTATAAGTACCTCCTATATGTGGAATCATACAATATTTCTCCTTTTGTATCTATCGTATTTCACTTAGCATAATGTCCTCAGGTTCATCCATGTTGTAGCATGTGTTTGAATTTCTTTCCCTTTTTTTTTTTTTCTATTTCTTTATTTCTAAACACAAGCCCACCAGGGAAAAATGTTCTTCCTTCTCAATACTAAATAATGTTGCATTGCATTGCCTGTATATGCCACATTTTCTTTCTTTCTTTTTTTTTTTAATTTCCTTGCTCTGTCACCAGGCTGGAGTGCAGTGGTGTGAACACACTCACTGCAGCCTCCACCTCCTGGGCTCAAGCAATCCTCCCACTACAGCTTCCCAAGTAGTTGGGACTACAGACACACTACACCTCACCTGGCTAATTTTTTTCTTTTTTTTAAGAGATAGGGTCTCACTCTGTTGCCCAGGCCGGCCTCAAACTCCTGGGCTCAAGCAGTCCTCCCACCTTGGTCTCCCATAAGTGCTTAGATTACAGGTTTGAGCTGCCATGTCCAGTCTCTTCATTTTCTTTATCCATTCATCTATCAATGGGTATTTGGGCTGTTTCCACTTTTTGACTGTTACGAATAATGCCACAAATTTGTGTGTACAAATATCTATTCTAGTCCCTTCTTTCAATTCTTTTATTTTAATTTTTTGATTTTTCTTTTTTTTTTCTTTTTTTTTTTTTGAGATAGGGTCTTCCTCTGTTGCCCATGCTGGAGTGCAGTGGCATGATCTCAGCTCGCTGCAACCTCTGCCTCCTGGGTTCAAGCAATTCTCCTGCCTCAGACTCCCAAGTAGCTGAGATTACAGGCACCTGCCACCATGCCCAGCTAATTTTTGTATTTTTAGTGGAGACACAGTTTTGCCATCTTGGCCAGGCTGGTCTCGAACTCCTGACCTCAGGTGATCCACCTGCCTCGGCTTCCCAAAGTCCCGGGATTACAGGCATGAGCCACCACGCCTGGCCTATTTTAATTTTTTAAATTCCTAAACGCATAAAAATTATAGAAGAATATAGACTAGAAGAATATATATCAAAATGGAATAATATTTCTGGATGACAAGATCACAGAAGATTTTATGTATGTGCTATTCAGTGTTTTACAATTAGCCTTCCAAGCATATGTTGCTTTTATAATTGAAAAGAACAGGCGGGGCGCGGTGGCTCACACCTGTAATCCCAGCACTTTGGGAGGCCGAGGCGGGTGGATCACGAGGTCAAGAGATCGAGACCATCCTGGCTAACATGGTGAAACCCTGTCTCTGTTAATAATACAAAAAACTAGCTGGATGTGGTGGTGGGCCCCTGTAGTCCCAGCTACTCGGGAGGCTGAGGCAGGAGAATGGGGTGAACCCAGGAGGCAGAACTTGCAGTGAGCCGAGATCACGCCACTGCACTCCAGCCTGGGCAACAGTATGAGACTCTATCTCAAAAAGAAAAAAGAAAAAGAAAAGAACAAAGGGTTTTTTAAGGTGACTCTCAGGTAGGTAACCAGGTAAGGCCTCAAGGAGGCCTCTTCCTCAGTTCCCGTGGAAATCCCTGCTGCATCCCTGCCCAAGTGCCCCAGGAACAGCCACCCCACTCAGCTGTCCCCACCTCATGTTCCCGCAGCCGCCATGCAGCAGATGCTGACGGAGAGCTGTAAGAACCGGCTCATCCAGATGGCCTATGAATCTCAGAGGCAGAACTTGGTCCAGCAGGCCTGTTCCAGGTAAGGTAAGGAAGAGGAGTCCCAGGTGAGGGAGTTGGGGGAGCTGGCTCAGGGCCCAAGACCGTGGGATGAGAGCTGGGCACTAAACCTCCCGCCCTGGTCCACCCCAGCCTCCTATCTGCCATTAGGGGCAAGTGATGGCTGCTGTTCCTGAGTTTTCTAGCTGGATCCATGATTCAGCATTGGGCTGTGTTAAAGTAGTAACAGTCACTCCCATTTCTTGTGCACTCCCTGTGTGGCAGGCACTCAGCTAAGCGATGACCCGCACTCGCTGATTGATTCTAGGATGGACTGTATTGTTATTAACCCCATTTTACAATTGCAACTCAGGTTCTGAGAAACTGTATAACATACCCAAGGAAGCACAGCCAGCAGGTGGTGGAGCCAGGATTTGTTTGAGCCCAGCAGAGGGGAGGGGTGTGCTCTTGACTGTGGTACACTCGTTAGTGTCCGAGGACTCCCACGGTTGGGAGTGGGATGCCCTGGAGGGATAAGCGAAGGGGTTGCTTTCATGCTGATGGCCTCTCTGGGGTCCGGCTCCCTGTGCTCACTGTGGCACTGTGGGTTTGTTGGAGGTTCCACAGGCACCCAGCAGAGCCAGTGGGGAAAACTCAGTCAGTGCTCAGGATCCCCAGACAGGGACAGGCCAGCAGCCCTGGATGCCCTGTTTGTCCTCCCATGCAGGTGGCTGGCACAGCTGCCACCCTCCAGGGCACCTGAACTGTGCCAGCCTCCTCTGGGTCCCTGCAGATGTGGGAATTTCTCGCCTGTTTCCTGATACATGACACTGTGCTTAGGAGTTGCAAGCGCAGGGGTCAAACAGACCTGGATCCAGGTCCCACTTCTCCTTACTAACCGTGAGGTCTCAGGGGAGCCTCTTTCCTTCCCTGGGCTTCAAATTCCTTATCAGATAAATCATAATACCTACCCGTAGAGTTGGTGGAGGATTTGATGAGTGTTAATGAGCATGATGTCTAGTGCATAAAGGTCCAATAAATACTTGCTATTGTTGTGAAGCAGGGACCTCACTGGAAAAAAAAAATTGCTATTATGAAATAAACAAAACCAAGATGGTGGCTGGGCGCGGTGGCTCATACCTGTAATCCCAGCACTTTAGGAGGCCGAGGTGGGTGGATCACCTGAGGTCAGGAGTTTGAGACCAGCCTGGCCAACATGGTAAAACCCCGTCTCTACTAAAAATACAAAAAAATAGCCAAACGTGGTAGTGGGCGCCTATAATCCCAGTTACCTGGGAGGCTGAGGCAGGATAATTGCTTGAACCTGGGAGGTAGAGGCTGCAGTGAGCCAAGATCATACCACTGCACTGCACTCGAGCCTGGGTGACAGAGTAAGACTCCATCTCAAAAAAAAAAAAAAAAAAAAAAAAAAAAAACAAGATGGTACCAAAGCACAGACATACTTGAGGCTGCAGGTTCTTGTGCCCAAATCAAGGGCTGCTCCCTGCTTCCTGCCCAGGGTGAAAATGCCAGGAAGGACAGTTTTGTCACACTTCGGTGGCTCACCACCGTTGGGAGTCAGGAGCTCCCCACCCATGGAGGTGGCTGGGCAGAGGCCAGGCATCCATTTCGGGGGGTGCTGTGGAGGGGATTCTGGTGGAGGGTTGGGTGAGAGGACCTGGAAGCGTCTCTCTCCCAGCTCCCGACTCGATCCCCTTCCCTCCAGGGCATGGGATTCAGACAGACTCGATGTCTGTGCCCCACCCAGGGCCCGGCTCCCAGCAGGTACTCCATGAGTGTGGTCCCGTGAAGAAATGGGTTATCTTGATCTCCTCCAAGGGGCCTGGCACATAGTAGGTGCTCAGGAAACATTCCAAGAATAAATGAATCTGTTGTCTTTCTGGCAGCATGGCCGAAATGGATGAACGATTCCAGCAGATTCTGTCGTGGCAGCAAATGGATCAGAACAAAGCCATCAGCCAGATCCTGCAGGAGGTGAGTCCTCGCCCGGGCCCTGAGGGTGGTGGCTCAGGAGGGAGGTTCAGGAGCCGGGACAGAGCGCCGAGCTCTACACAGAGCCCTTCCTAGACAGCGTGTGAGACCCCAGAGGTTTGTGACCATAGAAGTGTACAAGTGATCAGGGTGAGGGGTAGAGAGAGGCCGAGGGGGGACCCGGGGGATGGTCTTCTGGTCATTAAAATCCACAGAAGCACCTCCACCTGCTCCCTGGGAGGCTCCCACCTCCATCCTGTGTAGAAGGCTCTATTGGAAGGACTTAAGTGGCAGGAGGTGATGGTGACCACACCATGGAGGTCAGGCCACAGAGGGCGCTGTGGGACCTCTGGCCTCTTCTCATGTCTAGACCTGCTGTGCCGCTGTCTGCTCTTCCACGTCTGCGGTGCTCGGGAGGTGCCTGGCAGGGCCCTTGAGGGGATGAAACGAAGGGGCCCCATGACCTCCTCCCCTTCAGTGTCCATGTTACTCTGTTTAGTGTTTTTCTTTTCTTTTTTTTTTTTTTTTTTTTTTGAGACGGAGTCTTGCTCTGTCGCTGGGGCTGGAGTCCAGTGGCCGGATCTCAGCTCACTGCAAGCTCCGCCTCCTGAGTTCACGCCATTCTCCTGCCTCAGCCTCCCCAGCAGCTGGGGCTACAGGCGCCCACCAACTTGCCTGGCTAGTTTTTTTGTATTTTTTAGTAGAGACGGGGTTTCACCGTGTTAGCCAGAATGGTCTCAATCTCCTGACCTCGTGATCCGCCCATCTCGGCCTCCCAAAGTGCTGGGATTACAGGCTTGAGCCACCACGCCCGGCCTATTTTCTATTTTTGAGATGGAGTTTCCCTCTTGTTGCCCAGGTTGGAGTGCAGTGGCGTGATCTCAGCTCACTGCAACCTCTGTCTCCTAGGTTCAAGCGATTCTCCTGCCTCAGCCTCCCAAGTAGCTAGAATTACAGGCACCCACCACCACACCCAGCTAATTTTTGTATTTTTAGTAGAGGCAGGGTTTTGCCACATTGGCCAGGCTGGTCTCAAACTCCTGACCTCAGCTGATCCACCCGCCTTGGCCTCCCAAAGTGCTGGGTTTACAGTCATGAGACACCACGCTTGGCCTGTTTAGCTTTTTATTTTCCTTTTTTTCTTTTCTTTTGTTTAAAGACAAGTTCTTGCTCTGTTGCCCAGGATGAGTGAACTGATGTGATCACAGTTCACTGCAGCCTCAAACTCCTGGGCTCAAACAATCCTCCCACCTTTGCCTCCTGAGTAGCCGAGACTATAGGGCCACCATGCCCAGCTAATTTTTTTGATTTTTAGTAGAGACAGAGTCTCCCTGTGTTGCCCAGGCTGGTCTCAAACTCCTGGGCTCAGGTAGTCCTCCTGCCTCGGCCTCCCAAAGTGCTGAGATTACAGACGTGAGCCACCGGCCTGTTCAGCTCTTCCCTGCAGCCTCATGGGAGTCTCGCCACCGCCTCCCTTCTTCCCTCCCTTTTCTCCCCGTCCTCTGCGTGTTTGTCATCCCACCCTGCTCCTTTCTTCCTAATTGCAATCTCTGTTCTAAAATGGTTTGACTTAGTATCTGTGGAGCTTGTCTGAGGAAAATTCTCCATTTCTCAGAGGAGGCATCTGCCTCGTGGTTAAGTGGGGCTCGGGAGCTGGATAGGCTTGGTGTGTGTCCCAGTGCCGCTGATTCAGTGTCTCAGGGTCACTTTCCCCTTCTGTGAAACGGGGCAGTAAAAGCACCCGCACGGTCCACTGTGGTAGAAATTCAGGGTGTGATGCTGGACGTGCGTCAAGTAGAGGCCAGCCCGAAGCGAGCCCCTCATATCATCTCAAGGTTTACACAAGTGAGGTGAAATCTCTCTCTCTCAGAAGAAAACCCATCCATTAAGGTGCTCTGTACACAGCTTTTGGGAAAGGTGTGGGCACGGCCCCTGCTGAGGGCTGGTGGTCTGTGTTGCAGAGCGCGATGCAGAAGGCTGCGTTCGAGGCACTCCAGGTGAAGAAAGACCTGATGCATCGGCAGATCAGGAGCCAGGTGAGCACTGGGGCCGTGGTCCCTGGACCTGCCCTCTCAGAGACTTGCAGAGTAGCCCTCCAGGGCGGCAGGTCACAGCAGTTGAGGTTTGAACCCCAGCTCCTTGGCTTGCTAGCCCAGCAAGAGGTCGAGGCCTTGCCCTCAGAACCTCCCTTTGCTCCCAGCCTTGTGTCGGGGCTGCTGGGAGGGTGCCTGGAGGCCTCCTATTCCGGGGTCTGGCGAGGGTCTTGCCAGTGAGCGTGGCCTGTTCGGGTCTCCACCACGCCTGGGCCAGGGAGGGCGGTGCTGATGTGTGACTTTGACTGCTCCGGCTGCCTCTGCTGTCGGTGCTCCCGGCAGGACTTCCCCACTAGGAAAAGCAGCCAGTGCAGGCCCCAGCGCTCCTACAGCTCAGATCGACAGAGGCGTCTCGGGGGCATATGATGTTTTCCCCAGAAGAGGGCAGGTGGGGCTGTGAGCCACGTGGTCCTGACACTTGCTGAAAAGTGACCTTGGCCCTGGAGGAGGAAGTCCTCCTCATAGACCCTCCCTCACGTGACAAGATCCCCCCTAGGCCAGCTGCTGACCTTCAGGCTGTCCTTGGGCAAGTCCCGCTGTGTGGCCTGGTGGCCACCGCCTGTGGAGTGGGGCCGGGGCTGGGGCTGAGGTGAGCGTCAGGCTATGGGAGTGCTCCTGCATCATGTTCAGCACACTGAAGTTTGCATTTTCGCATGGTTTTTTTCTTTCTTTCTCTATTTTTCTTTTCTTTTTTTTTTTTTTTTTTGGACCAATTTACCTTTTTAATTTCCCTCTTTAATTTCAGTTCCACATTGCCGGACATGAAGCTCATTCCTCTGACCAGGGGTTGGTGGTGTCATAGGGACTTAGGGCTGAGGGTCACTGGGTAATGGGCACAGGATAGAGAAGTACTGGCTGTGGGATCTGACCTCCCCTCCCCTGCCACCCAGGGCTAAAATCCCCTGGACACACCCTGGAAAGTGTGCAAGGGCCCCTGACATTCTCACTGCAGATGGTTTTCACCAGGTCAGCTGTTGCCCTTCAAACCCTGAGTTGGGGCATCCCAGAGAAAGGGATCTCTCACTTACCTGCTCTGTGTCCTTGGGCAAGTGACTTAACCTCTCTGAGCCTTTGTTTTCTTGTCTGTAAAACAGAGGCAATAATACCTCCTAACAGAGAATTGATGAAATATTACACATCAAGTGTGCAGCACAGGCCTAACACATAGTAGGTGCTCAAGACATACCAGCTAGTGATACTACTGTTACTCAGTCACTTCCATTACCCTCTGCTGTCCCCTGCAACAGCGACGAGAGGGACAAGAGAACTTGACCAGCAGGAGGCTGGGTGATCTGTCTATGCCTTACTCTGGCCTGAATCCCAAGGAAAGCTCCCTCTCCATTGCACAAGCCTTTATCCCATGCCCACTCTAGGACAGATCCTGTGCTGGGCTCTTGGTAAACAGTGTTGGCCATGGCAAACACGTTCATAACCCCAGGAACGCAAGGCCATGAAGGAACGAATTCTTGTTCAAGCCCCTTGATGAGGTTCCCAGGCCTACAGGTTCCCCTCATTCCAGAGCCTCCCCAGCCCCCCAGAAAGCCTTCTTAGACCCCACTTGGTCACCAGAGAGCAGCAGCATAAAACTGAACTGTGGTTAATGTGAGTAAAAAAAAAAAAAACCCTGTCTCATCTTCTGTTTAGATTAAGTTAATAGAAACTGAGTTATTGCAGCTGACACAGCTGGAGTTAAAGAGGAAGTCCCTGGACACAGAGACACTCCAGGTATGTAGGGCTCCCTGCCCCTGCCCTCCTTCACGTGGTGAGACCCCCACCTGGTGCTCCCTCCCAGCCCCTGGGAGTCAAGGGCTTCTCCAGAAGACAGAGGGCAGAGCTCCTCTGTGGCTATGACACCAGAGGACACCCCCAGCCCCAGAAGACCCAGCGCAGGCCAGGGTTAGAGGTGCTCAGCCTGTTGCGAGGCAGGAGGGTCAGAGGAAGGAGGGTTTCATTGCCAAGGCTCCCCCACTCCATCTCCATCACTGCATTTCCTGTGCTGGCTGCGGGCCCGCCGCTGAGCTCCTGTCTCTCTCTGTAGGCCGTGCTTTAGGCCCTTGGGCAGGCATCCTCCAGGGCTGGAGCTTTTGGGTGTCCCGGGATGTCTGGAGGAGAGGGCCCAGCCGCATCTGTGTCATTCCCTGCAGGCAGCATCTCTGGGGCTCCAGCCCAGGAGTCCTGCCCACACAGATGAGAGGGCAGCAGGGACTGGCAGCTGGCCTCCTGGACTGGATGCCTGGGAGCCGGGAGTGGCCTGGCACAACCCTGCTGTGCACCCTTGGCAGGTTGGGGAGGAGGGGCAGCCCTTTCCCCTCTCTGAACGTCAGCCTCTCCAGCTGCAGACGGAGGGCTGGATGGGGTGGTGTGTGAGGACATGTGCCCGTGCCAAGAGTTTGAGCAGAGCCTTCGGTCTGTCACTGTCCCTGTGTCTGTTTTCAGTGGAGAGGTCTCAAGCTGTCCCATGGACTCCTCAGTGCAGTGAGGGGTCTGGGGTCTGGATCCCTGGTCTCAGGTGCACCGCAGGTGTGCTGTGTGCCCTTAGGCAGGCCTCTGCCCCTCCAGGCCTTCTTCCCCTACTCCGTAAGATGACAGCGGTCCTCCAGGCCCAGCCTGTGCCATCAGTCCATTGGAGAAGGCTGAGCTAATAAGGGAAAGCCCTTTGTGAGCCTTGAAATGATCTTCAGAGATGAGAGGACTGGGGCGCTCTCAAAGAAGCTGCAGCCATCGTGCCTGGCGGGTGCCCTAGTCCCTGCCCACGAGTGCAGCAGGGCTCTGGCTGTCGGGGCCCCCATGGGGTTTCCACGAGCAGGTGTGGGAGTGGAGCAGGGACCCCAGGCTCTGGTTTGCACACACCTCCATTTGTGTGGGGCCCCACACCCTTCCTCGCCATTTGCTTCTGCCCCTGTGCTCTGTTGTCTGGGAGACCAAGGCAGGCACCGGTGGCTTGTCATTTCTTTTGTTTGATGTTTCTTACCATCCCATTGTCATCAGTCACCAGGATCCCATGCCTGACTTAACCCCACAAGGAAGAGAGATGCAGGCTTAGGGGAAGGGGGGCAGAAGGGCCTCTTAGCTTTGTCCCCCAGCTCAGCCTGGAGGCGTTGGGCAGAGAACGGGTGAGCAGGAGGCCAGGCCCTTCTCCATCCTGCCACCGCGGGACTCCTGCGCTGACGCCAGCTCACGGTGGTGTGGGGTGTGGTCTTGTTTGCAGGAGATGATCTCGGAGCAGCGCTGGGCCCTCAGCTCCCTGCTCCAGCAGCTGCTCAAAGAGAAGCAGCAGCGAGAGGAAGAGCTCCGGGAAATCCTGGTATGTGTTTGGCTTCTGTGCTCAGCATCACACACGCGTTTACTTTCCTTTAACAGACTTGCCATTTTTAGAAACACCTGTTATTCAAGTAAGAGTTGTTCATCAAGGAAAAACTGGAAAGTACAAAGGAAAATAATTGCATTTCCAAGCATTATCTCCTGCCGTTTTTTGTTTGTTTGTTTGTTTGAGACAGGGTCTCACTCTGTCGCCCAGGTTGGAGTGCAGTGGTGCAATCTCAGCTCCCTGCAGCCTTGACTTCCTGGGCTCAAGCGATCCTCCCTCCTCAGCCTCCCGAGTAGCTGGGACTACAGGCATGTGCCACCATGCCTGGCTAATTTTTTTTATTTTTCGTAGAGATGGGGTTTCGCCGCGTTGCCCAGGCTGATCTCCAACTCCTGGGCTCAAATGATCTGTCTGCCTTGGCCTCCAAAAGTGCTGGTTTTACAGGCATGAGCCACCACGCCCAGCCTCTCCTGCTGTTTTGATGCATATTTTCCAAACATTGTGATGCATCTTTATAGCTGTTCATGTGTGTGCCTTTTAAACGTGACATGGTACAATACCCTTTTCGAGCAGCCTGTTTCCGCACATTCTTTTCAAGTCATTAAACTATTCCTTGATGTCCTTTCTCAAGACTGTGCTTGGCCCCTTTTGTTGAGTATGTGGATTACTTCTGGTTTTTAAACTTTTCTAGGTGATGCTGTCCGAATGCCTGTGTAGTCGAGTATTCGGGAACAGCCATGAGCATTCACTCCAGACAGGACTCGCTGTGTCCAGGGCAGACCGTTTGATAAGTTTTTGGTAGGAGTGGCCCAGCCATCCCCTGTCCCCTGATGGGTTTCACACTGGCACTTTTTCAGTGTGGCAGAGGCCCCCTTGAGAGTGTCTCCTCTAGACCCAGAGGGAACCCAAGCAATGAGGACAGAGGCCAGGCCCACCATCTGGGGTGGAAAAGAACGAGTCGTTCCTGTGTCGCCATGAATGCACCAGATGCCCTCTGAGCTGCGTCCTAGGCCGGGCCCTGTGCAGGTTTAGAAGAGAGAGGCCAGCTTCTTCTGGAGGCCTGAGCAAGCCTGTGCCCATCAGAGGAAGCTGCCTGTTCCTCACGGTGCCCTGCTGCCATCTCCTACGCATCAGGTTACTTTGCAGATGGTGGCTTGGCGCTGTGCCGTAGCAGCCAGGAGCTGTGGCTGGTGCTCCTGCCCTTGTAGGCCTTGGGGGTCACCACCAAAGGAGGAAGCACCGCCCCAGCAGAACACAGCCCGTCCGGCTCCTGGGCGCTGGAAGAGAGGGGCTGCAGCCCAGACGGAAGGGAGCAGTGGGCGTGGCCATGTCCGGGGCGGGGAGGGGGGGCGCCCAAAGGACAGTCAGGCCCAGCAGGGATTGGGAAACGCCTGCGCTGATCCCATTCCCCAGTCACGCCAGCCCTCACGGAGCAGCTCCGTTGTTCTGAGCGTGGGCTCTGGAGTAAGACAGGCCTGGATCTGATTCCTGGCCCCACCCTGGGCAGGTTACTCATCACCCTGAACCTCAGTTCCCTCACCTGGGAGGTAGAATCTCCTTCACAGAGTTGTGAGGATTAAGAATGGCATCTTTCGGTGCACAGCATGGTTTGGCACATGGTACTGTGAACACCTCAGCTACGCCTGTTGTCACTGTGGCCGTTATCAGCATCGTTTGTTCGCTGCTGTATTCCCAGCACCTAGAACAATACTCAACGAAGAGTTATCGAATGGCGGAATAAAAGAATCATGTTCAGGCCAGGCACGGTGGCGCACACCTGTAATCCCAGCACTTTGGGAGGCCAAGGCGGGTGGATCACGTAAGGTAGGAGTTCAGGACCAGCCTGGCCAACATGGAGAAACCCTGTCTCTACTAAAAATACAAAATTAGCAAGGTGTGGTGGCACATGCCTGTAATCCCAGCTACTTGGGGGGCTGAGGCAGGAGAATCACTTGAGCCCGGGAGGTGGAGGTTGCGGTGAGCCGAGATCGTGCCATTGCACTCCAGCCTGGGTGACAAGAGTGAAACTCTGTCTCAAAAAAAAAAAAAAAATCATGATCAATAGCACATTGATCATTTTTCAGCTCTGTCAGACAGTGAAGCCCACTCTAGAAGCTGAAGGTGTCCTTCGCACCTGTATCCCCCTTGCCTGGCACCCAGGAGGCAGCCCGGGCTGGGTAATGCTTGCTCTCCCACAGGCAGACAGAGGGGGTACCTCCCACAGGGAATGGCAGAGTGTGGTACCAGGTGGCAGAAGCTCAGGTTCAGGTGCTCCCCCTGAGCAGGTGTGTGGCGTCAGGCAGGTCAGCTACCTTCTCTGAGATCGTCTCAGCAGTAAATTGGAGAGAGTGATGCTTCCTGCTTTTCTCATTTCTATAGTTTAAACTATAGACAATATGCGGGTGGGAAAGTTCTCTGTAAAATACTAAGTGCCAGCCGGTCACAGTGGCTCACGCCTGTAATCCCAGCACTTTGGGAGGCCGAGGTGGGCGGATCACTTGAGGTCAGGAGTTTGACACCAGCCTGGCCAACATGGCAAAACCCCGTCTTTACTAAAAATACAGTAATTAGCCAGGCGTGGTGGCGCACACCTGTAGTCCCAGCTACTCAACCTGGGTGACACAGCAAGAGCCCATCTCAAAAATGAAGTGAACTGAAATGCAATGAAATAAAATAAAAAAGTACCAAGTGCTCAGAGGAGCATAGTTCATAACTATCATTGTGTTTTTGTTTTTGTTTTTGTTTTTTTGAGACAGAGTTTCGCTCTTGTTGCCCAGGCTAGAGTGCAGTGGTGCGATCTTAGCTCACTGCAACTTCCGCCTCCCAGGCTCAAGAGATTCTCCTGTCTCAATCTCCCGAGTAGCTGGGATTACAGGCATGCACCACCATGCCCTGCTAGTTTTGTAATTTTTTTTTTCTTTTTTTTTTTTTGAGATAGAGTCTCGCTCAGTTGCCCAGGCTGGAGTGCAGTGGCGTGATCTCGGCTCACTGCAAGCTCCGCCTCCCGGGTTCACGCCATTCTCCTGCCTCAGCCTCCCGAGTAGCTGGGACTACAGGTGCCTGCCATCACACCTGGCTAATTTTTTTTTTTTTTTTTGTATTTTTTAGCAGAGACGGGGTTTCACCATGTTAGCCAGGATGGTCTTGATCTCTTGACCTCGTGATCCTCCCGCCTCAGCCTCCCGAAAAGCTGGGATTACAGGCGTGAGCCACTGCACCCAGCCTAGTTTTGTATTTTTAGTAGAGATAGTGTTTCTCTGTGTTGGTCAGGTTGGTGTTGAACTCCCGACCTCAGGTGATCTGCCCACCTCGGCCTCTCAAAGTGCTGGGATTACAGGCATGAGCCACCATGCCTGGCAACCATCATTGTTATTACAGGTTTTATTACTGTTTTGAAACTAACATTGCCTGCTTCATTCCTGGCAGACGGAGTTAGAAGCCAAAAGTGAAACCAGGCAGGAAAATTACTGGCTGATTCAGTATCAACGGCTTTTGAACCAGAAGCCCTTGTCCTTGAAGCTGCAAGTAAGGACTGCTGGTGCCTGCCTCGGCCAGGGAGCCCCGGGGACCTCCTCCCAGAGGCGCCTGTGGTGCCTCCACCATGCTCTGCCTCTTGTTACCTTCCTGGTGACCCTAGCATGCCAGATCCTGTGCCAAGCCCCAGTGGAGACAGAAGTGAGAGCGAGGGAGTGTTCATTCTGGTGAGGGGGGTGACAAGGCACTGGTCACTGCTGTGCGGACCAGAGACCTGCCCACAGTAGAGCGAAGCCTGTGCCAGGAGCCACTCTCTGCCCGGCACCTGCAGGGCAAGAGAGGCGGTTGAAACAGCCCCCTCCTGATAAGTTGCTTACTATTTTCAGGTTTGCAGACAGAGCGGCAGTGAACCCCTGGGCCTATCTTTCTCTGTGTGCCTACACATGAGTTTTTGTAGGAAAAATCCCAAGTACATTCTATGTATTAGGTTATGTATATTCAAACCCTTCATTTTCTGTTATAAACGGGGGGTTCTTTTCTTCCTTCCCGCTCATGGTACACGTTTCTTGCAGGAAGAGGGCATGGAGCGCCAGCTGGTGGCGCTCCTGGAGGAGCTGTCGGCTGAGCACTACCTGCCCATCTTTGCGCACCACCGCCTCTCACTGGACCTGCTGAGCCAAATGAGCCCCGGGGACCTGGCCAAGGTAGGCAGCAGCCGTCCGCAGGGAGAGGAGGGGCATGCAAGGCCGCTGACCTGACCAGCCGGGGGTTGACCTGCTCCTTGTGTAGTCCTCAGTGAGGCCTGTCCCTACCTAATGGCCCAGGGCCACCTTGCTTCCAGATGACCAGAACCCCTGCCCTTCTGCCCCAGATGCCTGTGTGTGCCCCACACACTGTCTCACTGGGAAATCCTGGGGAGGCGGGTCCTGCTGACCTGCTCAGACTGGATCTTCAGACTGGAGGGACAAGACAGGCCCTTGGGGATCCAGCCTCTGCCCTGCCCCATAGTGTCACAGACTTCGTGGCCACAGCACTGCCTGAGCCCCTGTTCCTTTCTGGGCACAAGCTGAGCTCTTTACAGCACATTAATCCGCTTATTCTTCAAAACAGGATGATCATCCCTGTGCCAACTAACTTTGTAGCACCTGCACGTGCCGGGCACCATTTTAAGCACTTTTTGTATTCAAACTCACTGAATTCTTCCGACAGCCTAGCAGGGTACATATCATTATCATCTTTCAGATGAGACCCAGTAAGGCAATAACTTGGCCCGGCCGGGCGCGGTGGCTCATGCCTGTAATCCCAGCACTTTGGGAGGCCGAGGCAGGCGGATCACGAGGTCAGGAGATCGAGACCATCCTGGCTAACACGGTGAAATCCTGTCTCTACTAAAAATGCAAAAAACTAGCCGGGCGTGGCGGCGGGCACCGTAGTCCCAGCTACTTGGGAGGCTGAGGCAGGAGAATGGCATGAACCCGGGAAGCGGAGCTTGCAGTGAGCCGAGATCGCGCCACTGCACTCCAGCCTGAGCGACTGAGCGAGACTCCGTCTCAAAAAAATAAAAATAAAATAAAATAAATAACTTGGCCCAAGGTCACACGGCAGAGTGAGGCCTCTACCCCAAGCAGTGTGGCCCCAGAGTTCCTGTTCTTTGCCATGAGACTGTCCTGCCCCTCCCTGGACAGATGTAGACGCCAGGGTCCAAAAGGACTGGATGAGGGTCACAGGTTGTGCCACTCAGGCTCTGGAGGCCGAGGGACTGTGGGGCTCACGTGCTGCTGCTGCCTTGTGTCTTGGCCTCCCAGGCTTCTCTCCTGCCCCACCTGGTGGGGAAGTGGCTGAGGTGTGCAGGTGAAGCCTGGCACCGGGAAGCGGTTGCTAAACTGTAGCTGTTGCTAGTGCTGGTTTCCCTTTGGGCTTCAGTTTCCCCCCAACCCCTGCCACACTGATTGGGCTGAGGCCTGGGGAGGTTGTCCTCACAGCTATGGAGCCGCACTGCTTCATCCTGACCTTGGGCCCCACCAGGCCCCGGAAGGCTTCCACATTTCCAGCAGAAGGTGCCAGTGGTCCTGTGGACCTGGGCCTGTGCCAGGTAATTCATGCCATTTAGCAGGCTCCTGCCCAGGCCACAGTCTGCACTTCCTTGAACTGTTACAGGTGGGCGTCTCAGAAGCTGGCCTGCAGCATGAGATCCTCCGGAGAGTCCAGGAACTGCTGGATGCAGCCAGGATCCAGCCAGGTAGCAGCACAGCTCTGGCCTCTTCCGGGCAGGGCTTCCAGCCGTATGTGTGGGCTCTGGTGGGGACAGTCATTTGCTTACATTTCAGGATGAGTCCTGAGGGCTGGTTCTAGCCCCTGCTGGTCGGTAAGGTTCCCTCCTAAGGGGCAGGCTTAGAGATCAGTGAGCCCGTTTTACGGATGGGAAAAACTGGCCACCAAATTGGGAGAACAGGAGACCTCCACATAGCAGTGGAGGGGCCCTCCCAGCTCCCTGTCCCATAGCCTTCCCTCAGTTCACCCTACAGATGCTGGGATCCACACACTGAGGGACTTTGGACTAGAGAGAGAAATAGCCCGTCCCCAGGGCCTGTGGATGTTGAGAGATGTCCACAACAGGCTGTGAAGGGGCGAAGGCAGGTCGTGAGGGCCATGGGGAGAACAGGCAGGTGTGGAGTCTGGGGTCTGCCATGTGCTGAGCACGACCCGGGGACCCGGCACCTGCCCACTGCTGTGCATGAGCCACATTGCGGAGCCTCCGGATCAACCCTGCGAGGAGGTACTGTTGTGGTCCTCATTTTCAACGTGAGGAAACTGAAGTGGAGAGAGGTTAGCATGTCCCCCGTCAGGTCCCACTGCTGGCAAATGATAGAACCACTGGGCTTGACTGCCTCCCTGGGGAAGAGGTGAGGGGCCAGAGCAGGGGTGAAGGAGAGGGGAGGCTTGTGCTGCTGGGCTGGGCGAGGCTCTGGGCAGGGCATTTTTAACCGGAGCCAAGGAAGAGGCAAAGGAGCTGAGGCGAAGGTGGAGTTCTGGACTGGACCTCAGTGGGGAGGCCCTGGGGCTCCAGGGGGCTGGGCTGACTGCAGCCCCAGGGTAGCTTCAGGCACCAGTTTTGCAGCCACTTTTACTCCAGGGACATTGACTCCACCCCCAAAAACTCACTAAACTTCTTATGTGCAGAATAGACCCCTTCTGGATGTTCCTGACCCTCCAGCTCTCAGACTGGAGATCAGAAGAGTTTTCCATCAGGAGTTGGGGTCACCCCTGGCAGACAAGACTCACGTGAGCAGGAGTCACAAACAGGTGCCCTGCACCCTGAGCGGGGTGCAGTGCCTCTGAGCCTAGCGGTCCTCAGGACCGGCTGCTTCTCACTGTTTGAGTCATCCCTGGAGCAAACAAGCAGGTTCTTCCTCTCTCTAGCAGATCGGCCATGAGGATCTGTGGCCACATGCAGAGTGGATGCCTGGGCTGCTCAGGGCTTCCTGCTTGTGCCCATTGGCAGGGGAAGGGGCCATGGTGGGATCCGTCCCGAGTTCCAGAAGGCAAGGGAAGCCCTCAATTTCCTAACAATTCTCTTATTACTCACAGAAATCGGTATACTTTATATCAAATATAGAGGCTGGGGCCGGGTGCAGTGGCTCACACCTGTAATCCCAGCACTTTGGGAGGCCGAGGCAGGTGGATCACCTGAGGTCAGGAGTTTGAGACCCGACTGGCCAACATGGTGAAACCCCATCTCTACTAAAAATACAAAAATTAACCGCGTGTGGTGATGCACACCTGTAGTCCCAGCACTCGGGAGTCTGAGGCAGGAGAATTGCTTGAACCCAGGATGCAGAAGTTACAGTGAGCCAAGATCGCACCATTGCACTTCAGCCTGGGTGACAAAGTGAAACTCTGTCTCAAAAAACAAAAAAGAAAAAGAAAAAAACAAATATAGAGGCTGGGCGCAGTGGCTCAGGGCTGTAATCTCAGCACTTTGGGAGGCCTGCGCGGGAGGATCGCTCAAGCCCAGGAGTTTGAGACCAGCCTGGGCAACAGAGAGAAACCACTTCTCTACAAAAAATAAAATTAGATGGGCGTGGTGGTGCACACCAGCTACTTGGGGGGCAAAGGTGGGAGGATCGCTTGAGCTTGGAGGTCGAGGCTGCAGTGAGCCATGATTGTGCCCCTGCACTCCAGCCTGGGAAAGAGTGAGACTGTCTCAAAAACAAAACAAAACAAAAACATCAAAAAATTAGCAAGGCATCATCCCAGCTACTCCGGAGGCTGAGGTGGGAGGATTGTTTGAGCCTGGGAGGTTGAGGCTGCAGTGAGCTGTGATCATAACACTACACTTCAGCCTGGGTGACAGAGCAAGACCCTGTCTGGAAAAAAAAAAATTATATATATATACACACACACACACATATATATGAGAGCTCCCTCAAAATGGTAGCCTGGGGGCCAGGCGCGGTGGCTCACGCCTGTAATCCCAGCACTTTGGGAGGCTGAGACGGGCGGATCACGAGGTCAGGAGATCGAGACCATCCTGGCTAATACGGTGAAACCCCATCTCTACTAAAAATGCAAAAAATTAGCCGGGCGAGGTGGCGGGCGCCTGTAGTCCCAGCTACTTGGGAGGCTGAGGCAGGAGAATGGCGTGAACCCGGGAGGTGGAGCTTGCAGTGAGCTGAGATCGCACCACTGCACTCCAGCCTGGGCGACAGAGCAAGAATCCGTCTCAAAAAAAAAAAAAAATTGATGGCTTGGGGGCAACACTGATACCCTTAGAGGGTCTAGTGTTGTAACAGCCTTTTAAAAATCTTTAGTTTTGGCTGGGCGTGGTGGCTCACGCCTGTAATCCCAGCACTTTGGGAGACTGAGGTGGGCAGATCACGAGGTCAGGAGACGGAGACCATCCTGGCCAACATGGTGAAACCCCATCTCTACTAAAAATACAAAAATTAGCCTGTCATGATGGCAGGCACCTGTAATCCCAGCTACTCAGGAGGCTGAGGCAGGAGAATTGCTTGAACCTGGGAGGCAGAGGTAGCAGTGAGCCAAGATCGCACCACTGCACTCCAGCCTGGGCAACAGAGCGAGACTCTGTCTCAAAAAAAAAAAAAAAAGAGACTTCGCATTTTGTAAGGGCTGCTTCTGATGTCCTAGCAGGGGATGCTGGCTCCAGGGCAGAGCAGCCAGCATGCTGGGGACTCTGTGGGGCTGGGGGCAGGGGAGCAGTGTTGGGGGGCCTCTCATTCTGCTCCCCTGGGTCACCTGATGGGCAGCAGCCCATCCTGTCTCCTGGGCAACCAGGTGAGAGGCCAAGAGCTGGCCCTTCACTGAGAGCTCCTGCCCCAGGGCTCTGTGGCTGCGCCACCAGATGGCTGCGTGGCCCTGGGTGAGTGACTCCCCACCTCCGAGCCTCAAATGTCTCATCTCTGAAAGTGTCGAGCCCTACTTGCAGGGTGGCTCTGAAGGGTCCCGGGGACATTAGAGATCAGAGGACCCACTTACCAGGTGCTGCGGCCATCCCTGCAGAGAGAGACTTCAGTCCCATTCTGCAGATGGGAGATGAGGCTCCAAGAAGAGAAGAGGAGAGTGTGTTGGCAAGGAGAGCACTTCGCTCAGATCTGAGAGCAGAGGCTCCCCCACCCTCCAGCTCACTCACTATGGGGGCAGGCAGGCCCACGATGAGCCCCTAGGGGTTGGGGTCAGCAGAGATGACCGTGGCCCAGTCTGTCCATCTGTTCCCCACAGAGCTGAAACCACCAGCAGGTGAGGTCCTCACCCCTACAGCCCCCCGGGAGCCTCCTGAGTCTGTGAGGCCATCCGCTCCCCCTGCAGAGCTGGAGGCGCAGGCCTCAGAGTGTGTCGTGTGCCTGGAACGGGAGGTAAGTCTGGGGCCCTCCCCACCCGCCTGCCCTGCCTGCGGCCACCCTCCTCAAATTCTCCACGTACAGGGTTGTCTCTGAACGTGTTTTCTCCAGTTACCTAAGTAGACTCTGCTCACCTAGAAAGAATGCAGGAAATAAAAATGACCCCGATCCCGTGACCCAAATATGAGCTGCACTCACATCATTTTCCAGATCTTTTTTCTTTTTGGTCCTACTTAATAGGAAAAAATGTCTCAAATCATGAAATATCAACAACATGATTTACCCTGCAGAGGCTTTAGAAAATCATCTTTTGGCCAGGCACGGTGGCTCACACCTGTAATCCCAGCACTTTGGGAGGCCAAGGCGGGTGGATCACCTGAGGTTAGTTTGAGGCCAGCCTGGCCAACATGGTAAAACCCCATCTCTACTAAAAATACAAAAATCAGGCCGGGGCAGTGGCTCACGCCTGTAATCCTAGCACTTTGGGAGGCCGAGGCGGGCGGATCACAAGGTCAGGAGATCAAGACCACGGTGAAACCCCGTCTCTACTAAAAAATACAAAAAATGAGCCGGGCGCGGTGGCGGGTGCCTGTAGTCCCAGCTACTCGGGAGGCTGAGGCAGGAGAATGGCGTGAACCCGGGAGGCGGGATCGTGCCACTGCACTCCAGCTTGGGCGACAGAGCGAGACTCCGTCTCAAAAAAAAAAAAAAATACAAAAATCAGCCAGGCGTGGTGGCGCACACCTGTAATCCCAGCTACTTGGGAAGCTGAAGTAGGAGAATCGCTTGAACTTGGGAGGCAGAGATTGCAGTGAGCCAAGATCCCACCAATGTACTCCAGCCTGGCAGACAGATCGAGACTCCATCTCAAAAAAAAAAAAAGAAATCATCTTTTAAAATTCATTAACACTTATTGTAAAATTTACACAGAGCAGTGAATGAAATACAAATCCTTCTTTGCCTCCACTGAGGGATCCTACTTAGAAAAGCAGCCGTGTTTGCAGTTTGATGATTCCAGGGTCTCCAGTTGACCCAGCTCATGCCAAGATATGGACGGACCTGTTGGTTCCAAATATAATCCCTGTTCTTCGGCCCTTGGCATTACGGACAGCTTTGAGCGGAGCTTGGATCAGTTCCTGAAAGCAGGAGATGCTGAGGCAAAGTGTGGTCCTGAGTCAGTGGCTGCTGCTCCGGGTTCGGATCGTTTGTAGACTGAGGAGTTCAGGGCCTGGATAAGTGCATCAATAAGAAAGAAGCCTGAACACCCTGCGTGCCCTCCTGCAGGGGCCGGCTGAACAGGCCTCCGTCCCCTGTCCAGAGGGCAGGAATGTAATCCCGTTTTATTTAAGAAAGAAACAGTTGGGGCATTTATATGGGTATTTATATTTTTTTACAAACTATAGAGAAATAGACAGCAAACTGCTAACAGAAGGACTAGGTTACCCCTTTCGGCCATGCCTGTTCTGTTTCTGTGGCGTTCAAATGCCCAAAGGCCCCACTATCAGGTGTTTGTGGTAAAGATGCTAAAGAATAACGAAGGTGTCCGGCACAGTGGCTCACGCCTGTAATTCCAGCACTTTGGGAGACCCAGGCGGGCAGATCACTTGGGGTCAGGAGTTCGAGACCAGCCTCACCAACATGGTGAAGCCCCGTCTCTACTAAAAATGCAAAAAATTTAACCAGGTGTTGTCGTGTGCACCTATAGTCCCAGCTACGGGGCCTGGGACTCCTGGAACCCAGCAGGGCCTGCCACATACTCCTGCTCTCCCTCCCCAGGCCCAGATGATCTTCCTCAACTGTGGCCACGTCTGCTGCTGCCAGCAGTGCTGCCAGCCACTGCGCACCTGCCCGCTGTGCCGCCAGGACATCGTCCAGCGCCTCCGGATCTACCACAGCAGCTGAGTCCTGCCCACCCACCTGGGCCTGGTCCTGGCCCTGTCTCGGCCATTGTGAGCCCCGGGCTCCTGCTCAGCCTTGTGCCAGCCAGACACGTATGAGGACCCCCCTGCCCTGGGCCCCTTCCCCACCGCCCAGGAGCCCCCACCCTGAGCTCCAAGCATGTCTGGGCCAGGCAGAGGCGCTCCTAATCCATGACACCACTGGTCTAAATGGTCCCGGGGGCTGGGGCTGGAGAGGCCGCTGCACCACCTCCCGAGCCTGGGAGCCAGCGCCCCAGCCTAATCACGGATCTGCTGTCTCCCAGCTATCTTGGCTGAAGGTCACCACCCCTGCAGGAGCTTGGTCCTCATCTGGGGACCATGCGCAGTCCTGTCCCACTCTCCTTGTGGGAAAGGAGCAGGAGGGCCTGGCTGGGTGAGCGGAGGCCGACCTGGGAAGGCGTGCGGTGCAGGCCTGTACTCACCAGCACCCCTGGGCCTCCCTCTCTGCTGCTCCCCAGCACCCTGGGGCCCTCCTGCTCTCCACATCTGTCCCTCCTTACCCCATGTAGCTCCGTCTGAAGCAGGAGTGTCAATAAACCTGTCTTCAGCGTGCTTCTGGCCTGAGTCATCGCTGGGTCCTCATGGGAGCCCAGGGAGGGGAGGGGACGACATCTGGGGATGGGGCTAGGGCAGAGGGCAGCTCTTCTCGGGGAAGGAGGCAGGAGCGCGCTGCACCTCAGTCCAAAGGAGAGGTCAGGTAGGGCCATCTTGAATGTCGTGTTATCCCAGCGCCCCCTTCACAGGTGGAGAGACCGGGGCCCAGAGGCAGCCAGGGCCCGTGATGGCTGCGGCCTGTGCCTCCACGAGCAGAGGAGCCCTGTGTGTTCCGCTCATTATCCCAGTGAGGCAGCTGAGGCTGATTGGGGGTAAATGCCCAGGGCCTTGCAACTGGGGCATGGTGATGCGGGGTTTGAGGCCCAGAAGCATCGTCACCCTCAAACCCGTGCAGTTGTGCAGGTTGGTCACTGCAAATTCTAGGAGCCGTATACACTTGCACTCGCTGCAGGGGTGCACGTTGATTACACGTTTTCTGGCAGATGGTGTTGAGCCAGGTGCAGCCTCTTTCTTGGGCTCGTGGCAGGCCTGCTCGGAGCACCTGGGCTCTGCCTCCAGCTTACTCAGTGGTCCTAGCCAGTGTTTGGGCCCCAGTTGCCCTCAGCTGCCCTATGCATTCAACACAGGATGTGATGCGGCCCTGACCGGCTGGTGGCCTCCAGGGGGCGCTGAGTGCTTGCCCCAAGTACAGTGCCCACAGGCGCAGGCAGGAGAGTTCAGGTCCTGGGGTGGCAGAAAAATCCCTACGCCTGGGCCTGCTTCCCTCTCACTGAGATCATCAGTCCTGTGCACTGAACGGGGCGGGCGGACACCCTTTGTCGTCTGAGTCGTTTCCTGGGCAGGTGCTGGGTGGCCTTTTCCCACCCACAGTTCCCCCTCCTCCCAGCACCCTCCTGGGCTCAACTTGGCCAAGAAGGGAGAGACTGAGACAGGCGGGGCTAGCTCCTGGAGCGCAGTGCTTTGCAGATCTCCTTACACTCACTAGGGCCCAGGGAGGCCTCATGGAGGAGCTCGAGGCTCAGTGACCTGCCACGGACAACAGCAAGGGACAGCTGCATCCCTGGTCTCGGGCCTTGTAGTCCTGTGTTTTGCATCTCAGCCCTTGTTGACCAAGGGAGGCCCAGGCCCAAGCCCTAGGCCACCACGGACAGGCTGGCACCAGAGAAGCCAACATCCGCAAGGTGACTGGCTGCCGCTCCACCCAGTAGGACATGTTTCTACCCACAGATGGGGCAACCCACCCCCAACAGCTACGGGGCCTGAGGGGTGTTCCTGTGCCACATAAGCTCGGCCCAGGTTCCCCACCTTCCTAGGCCTCAGTTTACACATTGGTGAAATGGTGGTGACGACAGTGTCCACTTTCTAGAGCTCTCTCGAGGCTCCTGTTCCCGCACACAAAGCGCTTGGCCCACAGTGAGTGCTTGGTAAACAGTAGTGTGTGACTGGGAGCGTTGAAGGAGCTGGCATCATTGGATTCAGCCCAAGCCTGGGCCCACCTTGCTGTGGGCACCCCAGGGCCCTGAATGGCCTTGAAGCTGCTGCCTGCTGCCGTCCCTCTTGGCCTCACCATCGCCCGAGGCTGCCTGAGGGGCACCCGGCACAGGTCTGGCTGAGGAAGCTGCCTGAGCTGCCACCAGAAAGCAGGTCACCTTGGACAAGTCCCTTCTCGCTGATCCTGTTTCCTCCTCTGTAAAATGGAATAAGAACTCAGATCATGGACATAGAGGCACGCAGTCAAGTGAGAAGCCCAGAAAGCTGAGCCATATGGGGGCCTAGACAGTCCCCAGCCCAGGCCTCCCTGTCTCCTACCCCCACAGCACCACTCAAGGCAACTGGCTTTAAATAAAGCGTTTATTGATTAGTAGAAGCATGAACAGTGTGCATAATATTTTCAATACAATATCAGGGAGGGATGACGGGAACCCCTCAAAAGGCACTAGAGGCGCAGATCTTCGGTACAAGAAGGAAGAGATGCGCCAGAGACCAGGGCTAGGGGGCTGGGGGTCCCTGAGTGCCAGGCACCACCACACGTCCTGCGGGTCAAGGCCCCTCCTCTGGGGAGCAGGTCTAGGGCACGGAGGTTGCAGGGCGGGGACAGGACCCCACCTCGGGGACCCTGAAGGAGTCCATTTCTGCCCTGCCCCCAGCAAAGCAGCAGTGGGGGAGGTCTGGGGGTCCTGGGGTGGGGAATGCCAGGCCTGGGCCCATCCTGGCTTGACCCTTGTCCCAGGAACAAGAAGCTGAGTAGGGACGACAGCCAGGCCCAGAGTGACTCACAAGGACATCCAAAGACGGGACTGGATTTTCAGGGGGAGGTGACTTGGTGACTGAGAGGCAGCACAGGTCAAACCCTAGCCTGACCCCAGACCCTCAGGGAGGGCCCCCCGACCCTGTACCCCTTAGGATCCCCATCCAGCTCCCCAGACAACCACTGAGGACCTCAGGGTGGCCCACAGAAGACAGAACCCAGCTCCACGACACCCCTCGCTCCCGCTCCAAGCACCAGAGGGACGGGGACCAGAGAGAGACCAGGCGGGCGGGAGGAGGCAGGCTGGGGCCAGGAGAAGGGGATACACAGGACCATAAAACCTCAGGCTCCCCATAACCCTCACTCAGCCATCTCACTCACTCACTCCCTCCCAGCATCCCCCAGGATGGGGATCCCCTCCTTCACTCAGGACACTTCCCCTCTGCAGACCTGCACGTTCTGGGCTTTTCTAATTTCACCCCAGGCCCACCCACCCCATGAGGCACCCCCTAAATCCCATCCCTCCCCGCAGCACCCCCAGCCTGGCTCCAGCCTGAAGACCCCCTCCTTCCCCTTCTGTCCAGAACAGTGGGGAAAGCGAGGCTGGGTCCACCCCTAACTGCGGAAGGAGCAGGGCCGGGGGCCACTGCGCTCCCTTCTCCTGTCCTGGCCCAGCCAGCCCCTGGGTGAGTGGGCGGGAACCCACTGGCCTCACAGCAGCTTTCACCTCCCTCTCTCCAGGAAGGATGGCAGCACCCATGAGGGGATGGAGGCCACAGAAGAAGGACAGGAAAGGAGGGGCTCTCCAGCCCCCCAGCAGTTCCCGCCCTCGGCACAAGCAGGAAAACCCCAAAACCAGCCCCTGCATCTGAGATCATCCCACAGAAGAGAAAACAGGGAGCAAGAAAGTGTTGACTGAACCCAATAAAGTGACTCAGGTGGGCCTGCTCCCTGGTGGTGCCACACAGCCCTGCCCCGCCTCCACCCACAAGGCACAACACAGACCAGGGTACCCTCCTCAGAGCCGAGCCTGCCTGGGCCCAGACGGGAGCGGCCCGTGCCGTGTGCAGCAGCCAGGGACCCACTGGCCTAGAACTCAGTCTGCACCCCTGCGTTGTCCTCGGTGGTGGTGTGGAGGGCGGGGTGGCTGCTGGGGCTGGACACCTGCTCTCCAGTCTCCTGGTCGCTGGGCTTGGGGGGTCCAAGGTCCACAGCCTTTCCAGGCAGGAGATGCTGGAGGGGTGAGGCAGGTGGCGAGGAGGCCTCGGGCACGGCCTCGGGCTGGGGGGTCTCCCCGGCAGGTGCCCCGTTGGGTAGGGGGCTGGCTGGCGGGGGGCTCTCAGCCCGCAGACCTTGGGCCAGCAGACCTTGGATCTCAGTGACACTGTCCGGGGACGCAGGTGATGGTGACTCAGGGCTAGCCTCAAAGGGCAGCCCCGCCTCCTCATCCTGGACCACAGAGACCACCTGCTTGGCGCGCCGTCGCTTTTCCGAGAGGGTGGCTGCCTCGGGGGTGCTGGGGCCGGGGCCGCCGCCCCCACCGCTATTGCTGTACTCCTCACCCCAGTCGATGGGGGCGCCCTCGGCCAGCAGGTGCAGGTTGGGGTCGCTGTTGTGCATGACCACGCTGTCCCGGTACAGGTTGTGCTTCCTCTGCACCGCGGCCTCCTTCACAGCTGCAGGGCCACAGGGGAAGGGTCAGGACACAGCACTGATCCCACAGCCGCCCCCGTGCTGGACTCTGCTCAAAGGAGACCCGTCTCAACCCACCATGGGGGTCTGTGATTGGGATGTGACTTATTCCAGGCCTCATTGCTAAAAGCAGCAAGGCTGTGATGCTAACTCCAGGCCCAGGCTGCTGACCACATGCCATCTAATCACTCATCCCAGCCTCCCAGCAAAGCCGAGGACACGAGAAGAAACTAAAGCACAGAGATGCAAGGGCTGTCCGCTCCTGGGGCCACACAGCCAACGGTGGGCTTCACCCAGCCCCTACGTGCAAGTCTGGCCTTTTCTTCGTGCCTTAGCTGACCCCCTCAGCTGCCACCACCTCTCAGCTGCCCCCCAGCATCCTCCTGGCAACAGTCCCCACCCCGGGACGGCACGCACCCTGCAGGATGTCCTTCATGACGGTCTGCAGCACCACCTCCTCGTACGTGTTTTCCACCAGGATGAACTTGGCAAAGTCCTCGAAGATCAGCTCCTGGAACCGGGGCAGCTCCTGCCCAGGTGGGGTGGCAGAGATGAGAGGTCAGGGCCAAGGGGAGAGGAGGTCTGTGGGCTCCACCCCCGACTTAGGGCCCAAACAGCTGGAGCAGGTGGGGACCGCTCACCGACTTGCAGGTAGGGGCCAGCTTCTTGAGCAGGAAAGGGATGCTGACCTGCAGCAGCGCCTCCCGGAAGAACCTCTTCCGCACAGAGCTGCTGTCATAGTCATATTTCTGCAGGGAACAAGGGGGTCAGGGGCCTGCAGGTCAGTGGGCTCCATTAGCCCTGAGGGTAGGACGAGGCCAGTGGTCTGACCCAAGCCTCCGAGTCCTCCTCCGCACAAGAGGACCATGGCGCCTCCTTGCAGGGACAGCAATCCTGGTGGTGGCCGGGGATGGGGCTTGGGGCTCGTCCTCACCTAGGACGGTCTGGGGCAGGGCGTGGGGCCGCTCACCTTCAGCACCCGCTCCAGGACCCGCTGGATGGACTTGCACAGCTCCTCCTTGGTGGGCCCCTTCCCCAGCTCCTGGTGCAGGAGGGT